GAGTTTCCGGTCGTGTTTTGTTGTTGTTGATGGATGAATATCTGGCAGGATCTATCTGGTAGACCATATCTTGGCTACAATTTAGAGATTCCAACCCAGAGAGTAGGAACATACGACACTCAGGTCCTTCAGATTTAGTCTTTTAGTATCCAGTTTTAGGTTTTTCTATTGTTCTCTTGGTTTGTTAGATCACTAAATGACTCTTTTCCCATTTAGTTGGTGGAGCATTTCTTCCAGTCATTGGTGAATACTTCTGGTATGACACTTCACATCCGACAGGTATCACGATTCCAATCTTTCATAACAGAAAATTAACCTTTTACTTGACAATTATCTCTGAAATCAAATTTGTTATGACAGCTTGCTGGTAAAAACTCTCACCACATAATAGAGGCGACCTTTAAGGCCTTTGCAAGGGCTCTCCGACAAGCAACAGAGTCTGATCCACGTCGCGGTGGGACAATACCAAGGTCTGACTTCGACTCATAGATGCAAAACTAATCTTAATCAAAATCTTACCTCAGAGAAAAGGCACACACACTAATACACACTCCACATGTCATTCACCATTCAATATTTATTGAAAAATATTTGGTCATTCAATATTGGAAAGAAGCAAAATATGGCTGGAAAGAATGTACATAATGATAAAACAAGTCTGACGTTCTAAGTTTACGGTATATTTGCAGTTCAAAAGGAGTCTTGTCGCGGTCATAAGAGGCGGTGAAAAAAGTTTCAGTCTACTGTTCGGAGTTAATGGGGAAGGATTAGTTTTCTTATGTACAATGTCAAACCTGCTGAATCTTTGTTCATTTGCAAAGGTCAGTGTATTTTAAGTTCATCTATATTGTGTTGTTGGAGACTGCTTTTTTTCTATCTCAGAATTTGATTTTGTTTTTGCTTTCACCCATTGTACAGTAGTGTAATCGTTTTCAGTGAACTTTAATATTGGTTATTGTTGCTCTCACGGATCTTATTGATCTCTTTGGTTCTTCTGGACTTTGTTCACCTGAAATCACCAAATGAACTGGGTCTTATTTGATAGAAATGGGTCTAAGCCCATTTAGAAATATAAACTTGGGAGTCTATCTTGAGTCTGGATAATGTGGACCTGGAGGAGCAAATGAACTGCTTTGTAATGAATGAATAGATCTATAGAATGGGCCAGAAGACTATTTTTGTTTACGATCCTAAAAAGGGTAGATTCGAGAAAGAATTGACGTTGAAAAGGGTTTTTGCCCAATTGATAACATGTTGTACGGTTTTTATTGCGCGAACCAAATAGTTGCGTACAAATTTAGCTGTGTGGATTGGGACAGTCATCTGGGGTCTTGAAGGTCTACCTGAGAAGCTTGAAGGTTATACAGGTACAATGGTGAATCATGGTGGAAGACTTGCAATTCTGTTTAAGAAGTCTCCAACAGAAATTTGGTGTACAGAGATTGCAATGGAGAGGGCAGAAGAAGGAGGATTTATTAGTGGGGTGTGGTCTAATCATGTGCTTGCTTTAACAGATTCCTTCATCATTGAACGAGCTCTAACTGTAACAGTTTGATTATCCCATGACAAGTGTTGTAACATGTAAAAGGTTTGCTTCTGACTCAATTATCCTTGTTTTTGTGATGAATGCATGAATTACTCTTTTAAGTATTTGATTGGAGCTTTTGCTGTTATATCGACGGTCTTGCATTCAGATGAGTGTGCAGGTGAGCTTGTGAGATATGTTAGTTTTAATGGTGTATCTATTGACCTTGGCATTTATATATATATATATATATATATATATATATATATTGTGTTCTTATATGTTGCAGCTTCAAACATGAGAAACCTCGAAATTATTGGAGCCGCTTGGTTATTACAAAGATGAAGCAACTTAGTAGCCTTAGTAGCCTTTAAACTATTGAATGTCAGAATTTAGAACCTATCTTTTGGATCTTTGTGCTAAATGCTAGTCTTGCCCTTGTTTCTTGCTTGTACAACTCTATGTATGCAAATTCATTGTTTGATGATAAGGTACTAATTTTGTTACCTACGAATCCCTCAGGTTTTGTTAGTCACATGTCCAAACTGATCAAGAGACAAAATAAAAACGTTATGAACTTTCATTGCCTAAAAAGTGGTGCCTGGAGAGTGGTGTCACCTTCTTGATGCTTTAACCAGTCGTCATATTTTAACATAGAGACAAGTTGATAAAACCTCAGAAGCTGATGCTAGTTCTGCTTAAAAGAACGTGCTATAACTTACAACTTAAACATTTGATCTGAAGTATGCTATGATTCTCAATGAAAGAAATTCTGGAAATTTTTATGATAATGCTTGATGATTTTTATGATAATGCTTGATGCTTTTAGAAATTTGATAGATTTGGTGATATGTTTTTAGCTTCTTGTGCTTTTTCCCCCTTTTCTTTACCCTACTCGCAAAGTGGTGATTGTTTTTTTGGCCAGCCAATGATATCCTCTTTTGCTATCTTTAAGTCACATGCCAAAGAGCTATTCAGAGTTCTATGGTGTTTTCTAGAGTAAAGAAAGTGGTAGGGAAGAGTATCTTGTGAGATTGGTTTGCCTTAAGATTTGGTTGATTTCTTGGTCATAGGCTATAGGCCGTCTTAATCAATCGTTATTTTGCACTCAAAGCTTCATATAGTATTTGTGTTTGTGACTCTAGATCTAGTCTTATGGATTAGCATGAAAATATAATCAAATAAGTAAAATTTACCTGAAGTTTCATTTTTGGATTCTCCATCTTTCCCAAGTAAATATTTAGATTCTTTTTTTAGTTGCTAATATTCTCTCACAAATTTCTTTTGCTATATATATATCGTCAAAGATATGATCTGAAATGGTATAATTATTGTTTCATGTGTAGTAGTCCAAGATAAAAGACAGAAGAAGTGTTATAAATTATGAATGTTTGGTTTATCATATAATGAGATTATGACCGCCATCATTGACAATTAGGACATGGATATAGTAATAAATTTTACATATAATGATTAAAAGCTTTAGCTTATGCAGTGTCAGAGTGTCTTAATCATGTTACTATATAAGGTTAGGCCAAGATTCATGTCAAATCACTGCATACCTACACGACTTTAAATCATATTAATCCCTTGTGATTTGTGAATTTGAATCTCTCTTAATCTCTCTTATCCCTTTTAAATATCATGTTCCCTCATTCTTGTTTCAACATGCGGGGAAAAAACCTAATCACGTTAACTCCAAACAATCAATTATTATAGTTGTCAACTCCATTATCCATAAAGTGAAATATTTCGTTTCATTCGCTTTATTTTATCTTGTCACAATCTTTGTAAGTAAAGCAATAATTCAGTATCCTCATCAGTCGTTAAAAGCATATATTTTTCCATAATAGGTTTTGTTCAATGTTGTGGTCCAGTTCAGTGATATGGAGAAATTGTGCTTCTTTTAGGTTTTGTATACGTAAGACGATAATTCTAGAAAATGAGATTCTAAGGTCGATAATAAAATATACTCCTATGTTACTTCTGTTCTTATTATTAATAGTGGTTAGTGGTTAAAAGGTTCACCTAATAAATTTAGTGATCGAGGTTTAAATCTGTATACTATGAATTTAAACACATAGGGTTTAATGCAAAATGTAAAAATAAAAATAACATTTCCCTTCTTTTAATGAAATTAGTTATGATATAATAACTCCCTTTTGACTATAATTGAACCTCTTCTTTTGGAATAAATTCATTTCTAATTGAAATTTAACTCCATGATGGATGGAAGGGGTTGAGTTTCATTTTTCAGTTTATTTTTAATCAAAACGACTTCGTTTTGTAGTTTAACAAAGAATTTTAACGAAAATCGAACTCTGCTCATTTGTTTTGTTAGTCAACTTAACGATGTGATTTATTTGGCAAATTCAATAAAAGTTAGCGATTCAAATAACTAGTCAACAAAAATTAACGATTACTAAAAGATTTAGCGAATTATTTTACCGGAAACTAAGGTACGTTTTTTTTGGCATTTTTTGAAAGTTGACGGTTTTTTTTTGCCAATCTTCCCAAAAAAAATAACATCTCTTAGATCTCTGAGGATTAGTCTGAATTTGGTTATGAATCTCTCTGTTCATATACTTTGATTAAATTATGTACAGTATGTAAAAACACTAATAATTAGTGAAAAAGGTTTTGTGCTTACTTAATCATCACGTCTACAAACACAAATATTGGGTCCAACACTCCAAGTCTCCAACGCATGCCTATTTCACTACACCATCTACAACTTCATCTCCATATACGTACTTTCATTTTTTTTTTCTTCGAAAAAAATACTAACAACATTCTTTTTTTTTTTCGTCTGAATGATTATATAACAAGGGTGAAATACGTTGTCGGAATACAAAGGCCGGCGGGACTTTAACCCCCAGAAACTAAGCCGGCGATCAACGAAATAATCCCAGAAACTAAGCCGACGGATAACAAGATATCCCCGGAAACTAAGCCCAAAAGAGGGAAGCAATGGCAAAACAACGCCAACAACAAAGAGGGAGATAGCCGAAACTAAAACAAGAGAGATCTAACAATAGACCCAGAATTTAGCACAAATCAGTTGTTATATCTTTTATATCTTTTTTTAAAATACGTTTTATTACAAAATTAAAATTTCGTAAAGTACAATTTTGCATACATTTATGCCGGCAATGCTTCACTGTCTTCTGACTCAACGCATGTGGTGGTCACTGGGCTTGGCCCACTTCTTTCTCCTACCTTTTCCTTTTCCGGTTCACTTAAACCGATAAACAATTCCGGTTTACCACAACTTTTCAAACATATATCATACGCGTTATCCGCTCACGTTAGCAACAACCAATCCGGAGTTTTGGTGCTATTGCTGCCGTCATTAAAGTACGCACACCAGGCGCACTCTAGATGGCTGTCATTATCGCGCCATAGTTACAGACGCCATTACACGTGTCATTCTTCTGATTAATCCACGTCATCATTCTTCTCTTATACTATTTCCATTTTTAGGTTTTTCTGCAAAACAAAAAATCAGTCCTTCTTCTTCACTTTGTTACCTTCTTCGCTGCAAAATCGACCAAAGTTTTCACCGTCCGATTAACCGGAGATGGAGTCTTCTCCCGATCCAGGTGATATGATCGAGTCAGCTCAGCCGAGTTTCGTTGAGTTTCAGAAGCAGACGTCTCTAATGACGAGCTGCAATCTTCTGTGGAAGGAGCTCTCTGAGCATTTCACTTCCATGGAGCAGAATCTGATGAAGAAATCTGAAGCTTTGAAACAGATGATTGAAACCCTAGATAATCAAACGCAGAACTCGATTGAGTTACTCAAGCATCGTGAAGTGACTATAGACCACAGCGTTGAGATCGCGGCGGGGAAAGTTGAGGAACGAGCTAGAGCCGCGTTGGAGTCACTGGAGAAAGCTAGAGCCGCGGATGAGGACGATACCGGAGAGGTTGACGACGGCGACGGGATTCTATCGGCGCTGAAATCGCTTTGTTTGAAGATGGACGCGAGAGGATTCTGGGAGTTTGTGATTGCGAGGAAGAAGGAGTTGGAGAATCTCCGGTCACAGATTCCGGTGGCGTTGGTTGATTGTGTGGATCCGCCGAAGTTAGTACTTGAAGCTGTATCTGAGGTTTTTCCGGTGGATAAAAGAGGCGGTGGAGAGAAAGTGAGCAATGATTTTGGATGGGCTTGTGTTGTGATTCTTGAGAGTTTGATTCCAGTTATGGTTGATCCAGTGATGGGGAAGTCTCGGTTGCTTGTAACTCCGAGCGTTAAGAAGAAAGCTAAAGAGATTGCTGAGACGTGGAAGGCGAGCTTGGAAGAGAGAGGAGGGATTGAGAATGTGAAAACACCTGATGTTCATACGTTTCTGCAACATCTTGTGACATTTGGGATTGTGAAGAAGGATGATCTTGCTCTTTATAGGAAGCTTGTGGTTGGTTCAGCTTGGCGTAAACAGATGCCTAAGCTTGCTGTTTCAGTTGGTTTGGGTGACCAAATGCCTGGTAAGCTCTCTTATGCTACTTGTTTGTTACTAGTCCATGTTTTTTTGGTGTGACTAGTCCATGTGAATATAGGTTCAAGTTCATGTTACTTGTGATTAGCTACACAATTTTAGATGTTTTTAGCTGTATCTGGGGAGCCACAAGTTGTTGTCTTTTGTCATGGGAACTTGTGACTATTATCTGAAATGGAGAGTGATGGTTTTGGGTTGTTATGGCTTTACACAGATATGATTGAAGAGTTGATCTTCAGGGGACAACAGCTTGATGCGGTTCATTTTACTTTCGAAGTTGGTCTTGTAGACAAGTTCCCTCCTGTTCCTTTGCTCAGAGCTTATCTGAGGGATGCAAAGAAAGCAACAGCTTTAATCACAGAGGATTCCAACAATCCTGGCCGATCTGCGGTACTTCCCTTCATTTATGTTACTCGTTTATCTCAAATTAGTTTCCAGTTTTTCTTTTCTGGATCCATTTGCAGGGATTTTCGAGTCTTTAATCTGCTGCTTCCACACTCTCTTACCAAAATCTATGGGTAAATCTATAAACCTTCTGACAAGTTGTTTATATTTTGCTAGCATCTTGTGGCGCGCAAGGAGCAATCAGCACTCAGAGCAGTCTTAAAATGCATAGAAGAATACAAACTCGAGGAAGAATTCCCACCCGAGAATCTCAAGAAGAGGTTGGAACAGCTAGAGAAGACCAAAACCGAGAAGAGAAAGCCAGCAGCGATTCCCGCCAACAAGAGAACCCGAGCAAGCTACAATGGACCAATGCCACCAGCCAAAGCAGGGCGTATCACAAACGCCTACGTCTCCTCCTTCCCACCGCCTCCACCAACATTCATCAGATCCCCAAGCCATTCACCTCAGTACGGTGTACCAGCATACACATCCCCACCTACCATCTATAGCAACAGGAGCCCTCCATACCAATACTCACCCGAGGTGGTTCATGGGTCATACCAAACTTCTCCTGTCAGTTATCCGGCAGCATATGGTACCTACTGCAGTCCGGTGGCTGCTCCACCCCCTCCAGTTTACCATCCTCACCCGCACCACCACCACCATATTCAGCATGCTTACTACTGATTAGACAATGACAAAGGAAAAAGAAGATGGTAAGTAACCCAACCACTGATCTCTGGTGTCTACGTTTTGTCTCTACGTCGTTTTGTTGTAATCTCTCTTTTGTTATATCTTAAAATTTGTAGCTAACACTCTCACTCTCTGGCTCTGAATTAGTCTACCCTCTTGTGTGTTTATTAATCTAAATTATACATATCTATTCACTCTCTTAATATTTCAATAGTTCAGTACTTAGATTCCTCTTAAGTCAAAAACTAGTATTGTTGATTATGTTATGTATCACTGTTGGTTTTGGCTCATTGAATCAAACTAAAATGTTTGAAATTCCATTTCCTTGTTTGAAATTAAGATTTCAAAGTCTCATAGCAAGATTCGTTACAAAAGTATTACACCAAAAAAGACTGTTCTTTAAGCTAATCAAGAAGATGGATCAGTCGTTGGCAGTGGCAAGCTGGAGAGACAAGAGCTCTTCCTCAGGGATCATCTTAATGTGACAATCAGAAGTTGGATACGAAGCACATAGAAGCGCGTAGCCACGTTCCACCACATCCTCACTTAGCATCCCATCACTCTGATCCACCGTTCCAGCCACAAGCTTAGCCGGACAAGTCATACAAACACCGAGGTTACAGTCATAAGGAACGTCAAGGCCGGATTCAAGAGCCTTCGATAGAATCGTCTCGTCTGGTTCGACTTCCAATTCAGTCGTCTTTCCGTCGTGCTCCACCACCACTTTATATGACCGAGCCACGATCCTTCCGGCGGTGAGAAAGTTCCGGCGATTTGTTGTTGGTAAGAGTGTTGAGTTACGGAGTGGGAAGGAGAAGGAATTGGAGAGATAAGGTTTAGGGAGAGAGATTGTGGAAGTTTGAGTCGGGAGAGGAAGAGTCGCCATGAGAGACAGAGACAAAAGAGTTTGTGTTAAGAGTGAGAGTGATGACTATTTTTGTGGTGTCTACGGAGATAAGATTGATGATAAAACCGAACCAAACTAAATCAAACCGGAAACCGAATTCTATTAATTATTTAAATGCCAACTGAATGTCAAGGTGGGAGACTTTAAACCGGAAATAACCGGATGTGACCAAATCAGACCGGGAAGCAATTTTGGTAACCAACCACCGCGTTTTTTATATCAAAACATGTGAAGGACATCTGTAAAAGAGCCATAATCATAATCATCATCATCATCATCATCATCATCATCATTCTACGTTTTCTAATTCCATACGATATCTCTATTTTCTTCAAAACGATTCGGGTCAAGGTTATTGACTTTCTTATTCAGGTATCATCTTCTTCCTCTTCCCATACTTTTTGATTTACTTGCTTATTCCTCTATTTCGATTATATTTGTTTGGATCTGCTAATTGTATCGGATTAAGCTAACTTCGCTGTTAAATCTGGAGATTTTTGTTTGATGTGTTTTGGTTAATTGATTCGGATATTTGAGGTTGATTTATTCCTTTTGGTCTTTCTTTGTGAATCAAGGAGTGAAGCTTGAATCATGGCCTCTAGAATTGCTAAAGATGTGACTGAAGTAAGGCTCTCAAGTTCTTTTTTTCACTGTTCATTTTCAAAGGAGTGAGTTTTGTTCCATGTTCATGTATTGATTGATTTTGTTTACTTTTTGGCAGTTGATTGGGAACACTCCATTGGTGTATTTGAACAATGTTGCTGAAGGATGTGTTGGTCGTGTTGCTGCTAAGCTTGAGATGATGGAACCATGCTCTAGCGTCAAAGACAGGTTTCTACTTTTTTCCAGAACTCTATGCTCTTCGAGTCTCGGTTTTGTGAATACCTTGTGTTTTGTTTCTTTGTGCAGGATTGGTTTCAGCATGATTTCTGATGCAGAGAAGAAGGGTCTTATCAAACCAGGAGAGGTCAAATTTGATATCTAATTTTTCAAACCACTAAAGGTTTTTTTTTTTTCTGTTTGTCCAGCTGTGTGTTTGACTTTTTAGTTTGTTCTTTAGAGTGTGCTGATTGAGCCAACAAGTGGAAACACCGGAGTTGGGTTAGCATTCACGGCAGCTGCCAAGGGCTACAAGCTTATTATTACCATGCCAGCTTCAATGAGTATTGAGAGAAGAATCATTCTCTTAGCTTTTGGAGTTGAGTTGGTTTTAACTGACCCTGCTAAGGGCATGAAAGGTGCTATCGCTAAGGCGGAAGAGATTTTGGCGAAAACACCCAACGGTTACATGCTCCAACAGTTTGAGAACCCTGCTAACCCTAAGGTATGCTTATGATTTACTAGTGCTTTAGTGAATCTGGTTTGTCTTATTTTGAACCATATTGAGTTGATGCAATTTCACTGTCCTATGCAGATCCACTATGAAACTACTGGACCTGAGATATGGAAAGGCACTGGTGGCAAAATCGATGGCTTTGTTTCTGGGATTGGTACTGGTGGTACCATTACAGGTGCTGGAAAGTATCTTAAAGAACAGAACGCAAACGTAAAGGTGAGAGCTCCATCTTCGCATACAATTGGATCTGTTATCATAAGTGGTGTGTCTTTGCACGGTTTCTCATTTTGTTTCCTCTTCTGTCAGCTGTATGGAGTGGAGCCAGTTGAAAGTGCTATTCTATCTGGTGGGAAGCCAGGTGATTTTGGTTCCCCCTGCGTTTATTACTATAACCATGCATGTTCCTCGCTTCTCGGTTTGCCTCATTTCTTATTTTTTTATTCTCGGAGTTTTCTAACTCATGATGTTTGCTAAAATGTCAAGGCCCTCACAAGATTCAAGGGATAGGAGCTGGTTTTATACCAAGTGTATTGAATGTTGATCTTATTGATGAAGTTGTTCAGGTAAGACTGCTTTTCAATATTATCTCTCTGATAGCAAAACACATTGAGTGTAAGAGAGAACTACATTTCTTACTTGCGACTCTCCATTTTTCCTGTAACGCTTTATACAGGTTTCAAGTGATGAATCCATTGACATGGCAAGGCAGCTTGCTCTTAAAGAAGGTCTTCTTGTAAGTGTTTCACATTTCACAACAAAAAAAAGCTATCTCGATCAGAATTACAACTTCGTATTGTTTCCCTGATCTTTCTTTGCCTAGATAAGTTGAGCACATAGGTTTAAACTGTTGATCTGTTGTTTGTATGTTATCGGTTTGACCGCAGATTCTATTTCATAATGAAAAAGGGTATCTAGATCGACCTTAAGTTATTTATCAGCACATAGTGTTTCTAAAATCAAAAGCTAAAAACTGTAGGTGGGAATATCATCTGGTGCAGCAGCTGCTGCAGCAATCAAACTTGCACAGAGGCCAGAAAACGCCGGGAAGCTTTTTGTGGTAAGCTCTTTGGTTCTATCATCACCCCAAAGCCAAAAAGCTCTGATTACAAAACAGGGAAAGTCCTTATTTATTTATTTTCTTTCTGATTCTGATGTAAACGAAATCAACTGAAATATTTTTACAGGCGATCTTCCCGAGTTTCGGGGAGAGGTATCTATCAACCGTACTATTCGATGCGACAAGGAAAGAAGCGGAATCCATGACCTTCGAGGCTTAAACACTCTCCATTTCTTCTTTAAGAGACGCCAAAATAAAAGAGATGTTCAGTTTCTCCTCTAGAGACTCTTCATCTTTAGTTACATTGCGTCTTTGCTTCCATCTGTATCTTCTTCTTTTGTGTGCCAATAAAAAATCAAACTAGATTTTCTCTATTTCTTTTGTGAACCACATGTTGTTAATAAAATTTAAGTTTGCTAATACGAGTTTTTGCAAAAGCAGTGATTCTGATAATTCTCTTTATCATCTACACAAAATCAACAATGTTTCAAATTTCTCATTGCAATCACTAAAATTGTACACACAAATTTTACCATTATCAACTGAAGAAGTCTTGAACACCTTTTCCGATGAACACACGATCAGAAAGTTCAGCCAAAAGGAAATTGACGGTAAGCAAAACAACACTTGAACCAGCGATAACACCGAGCACGACGCCGGTAGTTCCGAGAACTTTCTGAAACGCCGGCCATTCAATCTCTTTCACTTCCTCCGCAACTCCACTAAGAAACTCGTTCTTTCCTTTCTCTTCCTCCGCTGCTTTCCTCTGCTCCATCGCCGCTTTTATCTCTGCTCCGATTGCGTTAATCTCCACTTCTTTATCTCCTCCGCTTCCACTCTCTTCCGCCGGTGACGGAGTCGCTTCTGACTCCGATTCAGATCCAGCTGTATCTCGTCTCTGTTCGATAGCCTTAGCCACTAGATACGACGATTTCTTAAGATTTCTCATCTCTGGAGTTCTGATATCAGTGTAAACCGGAAATACACGGAGAGAGGACGGTGGAGATTTCAAATTCCGGACGCTCCTGGTTATTCCGGTGACCGGCGGCGAGAATTGTGCGGTTAGTGACATTTTTCGAAATTGGGAATTTTTTTTTCTCGGTTTTAGATTTTTGTGGATAATTCAGATATCTGAAGTAATGATCAGATACAGCAATGAGTATAATAAGAGTTGCTACAATTATGGGCCTTTTAAAGCCCACAGGCCCAAATATTTATTTGAAAGAATTTAAATTAATGCCATTAGGATAAAAAATGCTCCGGCGACGACGACGGAGAAAGTAACCAGAGGAGTGTATCGGCGAAAGCAGAGACGATGAATTTGTGAGTGTGTTTCGGATTCAACGAGAGATAACAGAATAACAATTCGTGTAAGTATTCTCTATCGGCGACGACGTCTCTCGTTAAATCTCTAGCTTCCACCATTTCTCTCATCGATCGTCCGAAATCTCTGTACGGATCCGGTGACTCTATGTGCTTCATAATCGCCGTTCCGCCGCTTAAAAGCTTCGACACGGCGGCGGAGGTTTCGTCTTCTTCTTCGTCGCGGCGGTTAGTGGAGAAGATTCCGGCGGGGTTATCAGAACTGTGGCGGCGGTGGAGGGGTGAGGAAACAGAGAGGTGATCGTAGAGGGAATTGAAGTTGTTGATGAAGAGTGATGGAGTGTGATGATGAAGTGTACGGTTGTGATTGGATACGATGATTGGGGAGGAAGGAACCGCCGGTGAGAGACCACCGGAGGAGGAGAAGCAAAGGTGAAGCTTCTTCCTTAGAAAATTAGACATTTTTTGGTTAGTTTAGTTTTTAATCAAATGTGATTAAGGAGAAATAAGCTTCTTCCTTATTTATACATGCAAAAATACGTGTATTAAGACTTAAGAGGAGGTCACGTAGTGAATGCAGTATCCATAACGTAGCTGGATCCAATTTTTTAATTTTTTTATAACGCGGATTTTACCAAGTCTTGAAATTAGAAGATTGATCATATTCGATTATATGTTGATTCTCTTTATAGTTTTACAAAATGTTTAACCTAAAACTGATAAAGATTTACCAATAATCGTTACAAGAACATATCCCATCTTTAAACCGATGAAACCGGTTATTGTCTCTCACAATGATCTCTCTTTTAACACTCCCTGAGACAAACTTGAAGAAGCTGTGGCAATCTCCGCAGATTCTAAGGTTCTTGGTGATTCTGATTGGGACACTGAGTGGTAAAGCAACCAAGCCAAATGCTAGAGCTAGTTTTTCGCTGTGGTGCGAGACTTCTGCTTCTTTTTCTTCTTCTTCCAGATCGTAAAGCGAGAGTTTCAGGTCGGGCTTGTACCCTGCAGCCTCCATTTTGTTCCTTAGCTTGGTCAGCATTGTCTGAATCTCTTTGTTCATTCTGTGGGATCTGTCCTTGGCTTGAAAGGCGTGGACTTGGTTCTTCACTGTGATCCAACTGTACCCGGCTCCTTTCTTTATCCCTACGCCTTTCATCTCCTCTCTTACGGTGTTGGCTTCCGCCCACCTATTGTTGATCGGTTGTAATATAGTTAGAATTCATAAGTAACTGAAGAGCAGACAAAAATAAATTGTTGGTCTCTCCAGATAAGAACAACCTTAACATTAAGTTCAATTCAATATAAAAACTTAAAGCACAGACAGAACATACAGGACAAGCACCGGATTCAAATAATGCTCAGATAGTCTTAGTTATGTCTACTTCTGAACATTTTGTTTGCTCTAGTTTAGAATGCATCGTGGGACTCTTTTGAGTTGCTTAGATTATGATCACAACCTAACAAGATGAATGGAAATTGAAACTATCAATACGGTTCATTTACCTCCCAGCCGCTGCAAACGTATTGGAAAGCAGAACGTGGTTGCCTGAATCTTTAGGGTCGAGTTTGAAAAGGCTCTCAGCTGCTAGTAATCCCAGCTGTGGCTTACCATGCATCCTACAAGCATTCTGAAGAGCACCCCAAACCGAAATTGTCGGTTGAATTGGCATTTTTTTAATGAATTCATAAGCCTGTTCCACCATTCCCGCTCGCCCTAGCATGTCCACGATGCATGAATAATGCTCAGCCCCTGGCTCAATGCCATAAGTACTCTTCATCGAATCAAAAATCTTCATACCATTTTCCACAGCCCCTGCTCTACTACAAGCGGAAAGCAAGGACACAAACGTCATATAATTTGGAGCTGGACCGCATCCATGTGGTGCCATTTCTTCAAATAACGCCAATGCCATGTCAACCTGACCCTGATGAGCATAACCTCCGATCAATGAATTCAGAGTCACTAAGTTCTTTTCAGGCATCTCATCAAACGCTTGTTCTGAATCCTCTATGCATCCGCATTTTCCATACATGTCAACAAGGGCACTTCCAACAAAAATAGTCCTCTCAACACACGCCTTCACAGCATGAGCATGTATCGATCTTCCCAACTCAAGACCAGCCATACCAGCACACGCACTCAGAACACTTGAGATCATAAAATCAGATGTCTCAACAATTTCCTTCCTTGAATGTAGATATAATACAGACGCCTTCTCATCCTCATGATTCTGCACATATGCAGCAACCAATGAACACCAAGAAACAGCATTTTTTATTCTCATTTCAGCGAAGATAATCTCACTGCTACGAATCTGCTTACACTTTCCATAGAAATCGATCAACCCATTGTACACTGAAACATCTGTATCAAACCCACTTCGGAACACAAGCCCATGCATTTGCATTCCTAAATCCAAAAGTAACCCATCCGAACAAGCATTAAGAAAACCGCAAAAAGTTATCGAATTCGGTTGCCCACCAATCCTTCTAAACTCAATAAACGCTTCAATAGCTTCCTTAGGCCTTCCATCAGTCACAGAGTTAGATATATAAGCATTCCAAGTTTCAAGGTTCCTCTCAGGAATTTCATCGAACAACTTCCGTGCATCATCCCTAAGCCTAGTCTTACAATACATATCAAAAGCACTACACCCAACAAACACATCAAGTATTCTTCCACACTTCACAGCAAGCGCATGAATCTGCTTCCCAGTAACAGGTAAACGCAGAGAAGCCACAGCTTTAAAAACACAAGGGAAAGTGAAGTCATTTGGAACAACACCTTCTCGTCGCATTTCGAAGAATTCAAACAAAGCGGTGGAGAAATGACCGTTTTGAGCAAGTCCTGAGACAAGTGAGGTCCAAGAGACGACGTTTCGAGCAGGAGTGAGTCGGAGAACGAGTCGGGCTGATTCGGGATGGTCGAGTTTTGAGTACATGTTGATGAGATAGTTTGCGAGAAACGGAGGAGGTGGTGAATCGAGGGTTTTGACGATTCTTGCGTGAACGACGCGACCCAAACGCACGGAACTCGTGGAGATTGCATTCTTGAGAAGTAACCCAAGTGCGTCCGCGGTTAGGAGGGTCATAACTAACGCCGGAGATCGGAAAGGTCATAGCTTTCACTTTCAGGCCGGTGAAGAAACATTGAATGGCATAATGGTAATTTCTTCCACTGTGTGAAGAAGAAGAACCAATTAAAGGGTATAATGGTAATTTCCGCCCGTTTCTAGGACTAATCTGATCGAAAGATTATATATAAAGAATCGAGTGAACTTGATAAATTTGTAATCTTTGTAGTTGAGCTTAAGATCGGCTACTCTGTTCTTGAGTCATCAAAGTTCGTACCTTTATGCGTATTCTGCAAAAATTTCTAATCGATTCAACTTTTAATTTGTGTGATTTTGTCCCCAAAACATTGTTATAGATTATAATTCACCCTTTGTTTTGTTTATTTAGGTGTTTCTCTATCGCAGGAATTAGGGTTTTTGGTCTGCTTCGATGGATATGGATCAAGAGATAGGTCAAAATTCTCCTAGGTAAGTTTAATTCATTAAGAACTATCAATTTGTTTACACTTGTGTATAAGTTTCTCTGCATTGATTCTAGGAAAATTTGAGTCATGATCAATTTTGTTTTTATGGGAATATAGTAATTAATCTATGTGATTATAACTGCAAAGTTATCATGTTATTTGATTCAATCACATTTATGAACCTGCACAGATTTGATGGTGCATCAGTGACAATGAGTAATAACAAGGAGACTGAACCAGTCATGGTTGAGAAAGACGATTTTAGGGAAAACGGATTCAACAGAGATGGTGATGGTGATCATGTGAAGGTCAATGGCAATGGAAGCTCCTTCACTCCCGGGGAAACTGATTTGAATCAACTCCCGGCGATTCCGCCGGTTACTAGTGGTCAAGGCTTGCCGTTTGCACCTGTCGATTTCCCGAGCCCCGGCGATGTTTGGACTTGGAGAGTTGGGAGGAGAGTGACTAATAACGGGATCCATAAGGATCGGTTTCTCATTCTCCCGGAGAGGCTTAAGAGCAAGAATGCACCCAAATATTTTACTGGCAAAAACACTCTTTGGCGTTATCTCGAAACTAATTTCCCTGATATGGATGTTAATGCATGTTTTGCATCGTTTAGTTGGAATATCCCGGCTTTGTTTCAGCCTGCTAATAAAGGTAGTAAAGCTCTTCCTTCCTTTGCGTCAGCCATAAAACTCTATTTGCAACACATGAATGATGTTTCCTTTTTCGGTTTCTGTAGTTGATGCTGCGTCTCTGTTTGAAGAGACATCCAAAGAAGGAAAGAATCAAGATGAGGATGTCGAGGATGTAAAAAAAGAAGGATCAACTTCGCGGTACAGCCAGAGGAAGAGAAAACCGGTGCAGATACAGACTAATGAACCTGTTGAAGAAAAGCCTAAAGCAACTCCGCGAGCTAGCAACAGGAAAAAGACAGTCATAACAACTCCAGTCACCAAACATAAGTCATCTCGGGAATCTTCCTTGAGACGCTTCACCAGACAGCAACAAGGTGATGTGGTTGACTTGACGGAAGAAAACAAGGAATCAGATGCAAATAAAGGCAGCAAGAGAATGAAGAAACGCAGAGGTAACTATGCAGACGAAGAAGAAGAAGCTTTGGTTCCTCATATTTATGTTTCTCCTATGAACGGTGTCCTTTCGGTCTCCCACCCTCCTGTGGATATAAACCCAGAAGAGTTTGACAGTTATTTGAATTCTCTAGAGAACCTTCTTCAGCAACAGCCTTCAGAAGCGGGACAGGAGTCTTCATCATCATCTCTTCCCATTAGTGCGAGCTCTCCAATGAGAGAACACGAATGGGCAGAAGCTCGGACAAAGCTTTCATCGCTTCTGGAGAAGGATTTCTCTTTTTTGTTCATGTCTAATGAAGCTGCGGAGATGGCAAGCTTGGCAGCTAAACTGAGGAAAGATCCAAGCCTTTCAGCTGGAGAAATAGTGAGGTTGAAGCTTATCGAAGAAATTCCAACTTTCAGCGAAGTTTTTCAAGAGAACAAAAGCGTGATAGAAGAAGCAGATAGGTTCTTCTCCGCTCTCGAGCTTAACAAATCGAAAGTCGCATCTCTCAAGTACGAATATAGCGACTTAAAGGACAAGCTAGGCAATATCCAGAAGGAAGTCGATACAAACACAGAGACAATCCGTCAAATTGACGAGCAAATCGCTCAGCTTCAAGCTAGACGGACCGAGCTTACCCGTTGCATTAGTAACAAAGAGAAAGAGAAGGTTGATCTAAGCTATGGTCAGAAAATGGTAGCGAACTCAATCCCTAAAGTGGTTCAAGAAGTTCAAGCAGCTAACTCGAAGAAACCCGAATGGGAAATGAAGAAAGATAATGCTCTTAAACGCGAAGCAGAGATCCTCAATAAATTTGCCCCTCTCAAAGGATTTTATCTCTAAAACCAATTAAAGTCATGTTACATTACATAAGGCAAAACTCTTGAAACATGCCAACTTACTCTGTATCCAATTTTTCATAATCTCTGTACTAAGATTACAAAAGCAACATTAGATTAGTGTACAAGCAATCACATTAGATTAGTTACAAGCACTATCAACAGATAAAAAGTCAAGATTTTTCTCATTTGATCACAATCACATTAGATTAGTGTACAAGCACTATCAAATCTCTACCATTGTCTTCAATCTTAGGCACAGTGACAATCAATTCTCCATCACTGTCGTAATCCACGGTCACTAGCTCAGGCCTAGTTGATTCCGGTAGCCTAAACCGCCACACGTCAAGCTCAAGTTCATCAAGCGACAAACCAAGAGACGAAGAACCATTAGTTCTCACCAGAACCTTGACCACACCAGGATGAATCTCAACCATGTAAGCTCCCAGACCTCCTCCTCCTCCACCATCTGTTTCCGCGACGAACCTGAAGCAATCATGACTCTCTACAACTGCCACGTCAGCGTCTGACTTCAAGGGCAGCTCTAGAACACGGCTGAAGATATGTGGGAGACGTCGGAGCTTCTTTCCGGGTTCTCGGGTCGGATCACGAGCGTGATGGATCAGAATGTTGTTGTTGCTGTTTCTGGGTAATGGGTGGATTCTCATGGTTTTTATTTTGTGAGAGTAATAAGAAGCAATTGGGTCAAGATTAAAAGGAGAAAAGATGAGAGGAATATGATCAAAAGTGATAAACTTTTTGGTGGGAATCAAAATTGCCAGAAAGCTACGGCTATGTATAACCAGAGAAACCCTAGCTAAACACTTTGAATTTGGATTTGTGATTAGAATTAGGCAATAATTAAGTGATGATTTTTAAGAAATGGATAAGCAAATTTTGGTTGACGAAAACAGAAGCTGCGATTCTTGAAGGAGCCAAGAGACAGGAGAGAAAGAATCGTCATTTTCTACAGCAGAGTTACGTGTGGTAATGTATATTGTTTTTAACTCTACATTTTTGGTCAAAACATATGAAACTTTTTTTTGTTTGTGTGTTTGAAGTTTAAAATTTTTATTAAGTATACCAATCACTTTGAGAATATAAAAATTGAAAAAATGTTGAAAGGTTTGTGTTAAAATGTGAGCATTTTTGTAAATTATGCAAAACAAAATTTACATTTGCCATTTTCCTAATTAATCTGTGTGAAATAACCAGTTATATCATAATTTAATATAACTAAAGATTTAGGAAAATATAAAAAAATTAAATCATTGTCACGTCAATGAAATGTAAAATTTGAATCTAAAAAAAAGTTAGGATGAATGGCATTGTAGTGAAAGTACGAAAGCATCTATATATACATTTTGGAGTACATTTAGCAAATAAATCCTGGAGTTGAGAAGTATTTACAACTTATGCCATTGACATTAAATCTAAAATTTTTTAAAAATAATTAAAGATATTAAGAAAACAAAATCTTTCCTATAATCTCGATTAAACCTTATGTATCCTACCTTCCTTAAATTTTGAAATCTGTTAATAATATGTTTGAGTAAGATATTGATTTTTAATACAGATATGCTAATACGATTTACATTAATGCTAAAATATCCTAATTACAAATGAGTAGTTCACATATTAATGTTTATTAGGATTTTGACATTCTTCACAAAGTCTATAAAAATTAATTTTCTGTAAATCGAATTAAATTTACCAAAATACACAAAACAATATTAAGAAATTTAGATTTTTTAATATGACATGTAAACTACAAAGGTAAAGTATTTAAAATCTAAAAAAAAATATTTATGAAATTGTATATGTCAAAATTCTCCTATATTCAATTTGGTAATTTAAATATCAGTAATATAAAATATGGATTTAGAAATTGATACAATTCAGGATTATATCAGATATTATAAAAAATTCTTCTTTTTTTTTTTTTTTTTTTTTTTTTTTTTTCTGGTATCAGCAATTCAACTGTATCAGATATTCAGATATTATTGAAATTCTTTAAAACTATTTTCAGTAATATTCAATTTCTTTAAAACATGCATTGTCCAATTGTATAATGTAGCTAACTTCACACATACGCCGATGACTCTTCCGCCGCCGAGACCTTCATTCGCCGTCTCCGCCGCAAATACAATTCTAGAGAAACTCTCATTCTGCAAATCACTCAACCACATCAAGCAACTCCATGCTCACATCCTTCGTACAGTGAGCAACCACAAACTCAACTCCTTTCTCTTTAATCTCTGTTTCTCTTCTTCCTCTATCAATCTCAGCTACGCTCTCAATCTCTTCTCATCTATTACCCCTCCACCGGAATCCGTCGTCTTCAATTCTCTTCTCCGGGATCTATCTCGTTCCGGTGAACCTAGAGCGACGTTTCTGTTTTATCAGAGGATTAGACATGTTGGTGGTCGTCTTGATCGATTCAGTTTCCCTCCGATTCTTAAAGCAGTTTCGAAAGTCTCGGCCTTGTTCGAGGGTATGGAGCTTCACGGCTTTGCGTTCAAGATTGCGACTTTGGCTGACCCTTTTGTTGAGACTGGTCTTATGGATATGTATGCGTCTTGTGGTAGAATTGACTACGCACGCAATGTGTTCGACGAAATGTCTCAGAGAGATATTGTTACGTGGAATACTATGATTGAGAGGTTAGGATTATAAACAGTGTGCAATGTTTTATTATCTTTCTCTAAAGGTGTTAACTTTAAGCTTGTTTGTAGGTATTGCCGATGCGGTCTTTTAGATGAAGCATTTAAGCTTTTTGAGGAGATGAAGGATTCTAATGTGATGCCAGATGAGATGATTCTCTGTAACATTGTCTCTGCATGTGGTCGTACTGGAAATATGAGATATAACAGAGCGATTTACGATTTTTTGATAGAGAATGATGTTGGGATGGATACTCATTTGTTGACTGCTCTTGTTACTATGTATGCTGGAGCTGGTTGTATGGATATGGCAATGGAGTTTTTTAGCAAGATGTCAGTGAGAAACTTGTTTGTTTCGACTGCCATGGTTTCTGGGTATTCAAAAGCTGGGAGACTCGATGATGCTCGGGTTATATTTGACCAAACGGAAAGGAAAGATTTGGTGTGTTGGACCACAATGATTTCGGCTTATGCTGAAAGTGATCATCCTCAAGAAGCTTTGAGAGTTTTTGAGGAAATGTGTTGCTCTGGGATCAAACCTGATGTGGTTACCATGTTGAGTGTTATATCAGCTTGTGTGAACCTTGGTACTCTGGATAAAGCGAAATGGGTTCACCGTTACACTCATCTTAACGGGTTGGAGTCAGTGTTGCCAATAGATAATGCCCTCATTAACATGTATGCGAAATGTGGAGGTTTGGATGCAGCAAGAGATGTGTTTGAGAAGATGCCAACGAGGAATGTAGTATCGTGGAGCTCTATGATCAATGCCTTTTCTATGCATGGGGAAGCCAGTGATTCGCTTAGCTTATTCGCCCAAATGAAACAGGAGAATGTCGAGCCCAATGAAGTTACTTTTGTGGGAGTGCTCTATGGTTGTAGCCACTCAGGACTAGTTGAAGAAGGTAAAAAGATCTTTGCATCAATGACTGATGAATACAACATTACTCCAAAAATTGAGCATTATGGATGCATGGTGGATCTCTTTGGCCGAGCTAATCTCTTACGAGAAGCTCTTGAGGTTATTGAATCAATGCCAATGGCGCCTAATGTAGTCATATGGGGATCACTGATGTCAGCTTGTAGGGTCCACGGTGAGCTTGAGTTAGGCGAATTAGCAGCCAAACGTATCCTCAAACTGGAGCCTGATCATGACGGGGCTCTTGTGTTGATGTCCAATATATATGCTAGAGAACATAGATGGGACTACGTAAGGATCATAAGATGGATAATGGAGAAAAAGAAGGTGTTCAAGGAGAAAGGTCTTAGCCGAATTGACCAAAACGGGATATCGTACGAGTTTCTCATTGGTGACAAGAGGCATAAGCAATCAAATGAGATTTATGCAAAGCTAGACGAGGTTGTTCGTAAACTGACGCTTGCCGGTTACGTTCCTGACGGTGGTAGCGTTTTGGTGGATGTAGAGGAGGAAGAAAAGAAGGATTTGGTTCTATGGCATAGCGAAAAGCTTGCGCTCTGCTTCGGTCTGATGAATAAGGAAAAAGAAGAAGAGAAAGGCTCGTGCGTTGTTATTAGGATAGTGAAGAATCTAAGGGTGTGTGAGGATTGTCACACGTTCTTCAAGCTGGTCTCTAAAGTGTATGAACGTGAGATCATAGTGAGAGATCGAACTAGGTTTCACCGTTACAAAAACGGTCTGTGTTCTTGCAGAGATTACTGGTGAGTATATTATATAGAAACAATTTACGGTTCCAACCAATCATCGCCAAACTTACTTTTATTATATTTTACATTAGCCAAAACTTTAAGGCAAAAAGTAAGAAAAAGATGACTACATGAATTATGTGGTGTTAGATCTTCCGAACTTCTTGGACGTCTTAGGCGATAACTCACCGGACCTCCTTCGTAGCATCTGTCTCATGCCGTCGGCGACAAGTTCTGCCGGATTGGCGTTAAACTTGCCACAAAATGACACGTGAGCATTAACAGCTTCCTCCACCGTCTTCGAACTACGGCTGAATTCGTCGCTTACCGCTTCGGAGCAAAGTCCACAAAGCCATTTTCCGGCGAAGTTAGCTTTGACTTTACTAATGTAGTGTTGTGTACAATCTTCCATTAAGCCGCAACATTCGCACGTCACCGATTCAATCTCCATTATTGACCAATCTCCAACCGAGAAAGAAAAATGTTTCAACGTTTATGAATTTATGATTCTCTCTAATTTGGGAATGGTATGCTTTCGTGGATATGAGAATGTTGAACACCAATGCTAAGTGTTAGTTATATACACGTAATAATACATATGTTGCTTGGTGGGGTTTATATGTTGGGTCTAGACTTGGAACAATTAATATTATATTCTAGAGAAATTGAGAAGTACTAGAGCAAATGCATTATTATTACACCTTGGAACTACATTATCGTATTATCAAGAAAAGAAGTTCTAGTACATTATCTTATAATCAAAACATTAATTATTTCTAATGACGACCCTCTTTTAATTAACACAATGCACCACATAATTCATCGATTTTAAAGCTAGAAGGATAATCTCAAACAGAATTTTGAAAACAATATGAATCATATGATTCAAGACCAAATAAATAGTAGGTTGTGACTTTTGATATGATATGTTTTTAGATGTGTTAAGTCCACGTTGATGAAAATATTTATTGTAGGATACCAATGTTTTTTTTTGTAAATGAATAAAGTTTTGACATAATTAAACAAAACTATGGGAGGGCAAGGAGTTGCAATAATTGGCTCCATGTTCTAAGAGACATGAGATTGTGATTTGTGGAAGTGGAGACAATGGTGGTCTTGTTCAAGGGTCCCTTCTACCATTATTTGACCTTCAATTTCATGCACATATCAAATTAATAATTAGATAACTTACGAACATAAACTACGAATTCATTATGACAAAACAATACTACATTCAATAAAAAGTGATATTAATTGTAGACTGAATAGAGTTTGCAAAATATAGTTTGCCAATCACGCATTTAAATTAGTGAATCACTAGTTTGATAAAGAAAAGTAGGTGTTAGTTAATTTCCATTATCATTTTTGCTTTGACATCTCTAGACATTTGTTTGCCTCTTGCTAGAAACTGTCTTCCAGATTTCAGCCAGTATATAAATGTTTGTCTATGACTTCCACATCATATGTTCTGGAATATTAAAAGAAAAATACCAAAACGATTTACAAGTATGCAACATTCAAATAGATACATTTTTGAGAAAGACGATAATTCTCTTAAAAAAATTACCGGCAAAAGAAAAAGTGGATGGAGACAACACTCTGCGAAAAAGTTTATGGTGAACAAAAACATTTACGATAACAGACAAAGCTTAATTTAGAAATTGTGACAAAAATGGCAACAATACATGTGTTTGTGATAGCAATCGTTCTCCTTTTACAGTAGATGTGTTAGTGATGTAGATAAATCAATACTTCATTCAATCACCAAAACCAATTACAAATCCAGAGTTCTAATGTTCATGAAACAAGAGAAACTCAGATTCACCTTGTAAGATCTCTTGATGGATCTTCACAGAGGATGAATCATGTTATTCAAAACCCAGAAAACTCGAAGAGAAAGAACAACAAACTTTTCAATTTCACGATTAATTCTGTAATTTGATCTTCAGCTTCCTTTAAACACAACAACTTCTGATACTTCATCTCAACCGTTGCTTCTTCTCTAATCTCCATCGTCCACGTGTCTCTTCTTCTTTAACCTTCTTATTACTGTATCAAATCTCCCCTCTTCGAAGAACCTTGACCACAAGGTTCAAATTTTGGAAATTGTCTCTGCAAAACAAAGAGAACTCCCATGTGGTTTCATGAGGCCATTTGATTAACACCATTGAAGCAGCTCTGCTTGGAATGTACTTCTTAGAGTCTCTTGTAATTCAAGTCTGGTTCCAGGGTCAAAGGTTTGGTTCTGTGTGACGTCAAGCATTCGTTCTACTTTGGCAAACTCCATTTTAACAAGTTGATCCCCATACTGAGACATCTCTGCAATAGTCTTGGCCTTACATCCAAGCTTGTAAATAACCAATCTCCTGCTGTATAAGAGTTTCTTCCATTTGCCATTCCGTTCCCGAATAGAATATGCATAACCCATCTTCCTCCTTTGCTGGATTTTGTGACTTCTAATGCGCCTTCGAAGGAACACCTGATGTTGTAAAACTTGATGAACGCAAGTAGAATCCAAGATTGAATCAGCCTCTGTCACCATCTTCTTGGCGTGAATCAAATCTGGTTTCGGACTTGACGTCGGTTGCAGGACATCTTGAATCAAATTCTCTGCACAATCTCCCCATTCCAGCTGTTGGTTCACTACTTTATCAAGGAATGAATTATCCTTTCTTCTGTTCTTAAAGGCTATATGTAACTCCCCATCCTTTGTGAATCCAACTTCATTCATCTTGAGGACATCTAGTCTTTGCACTTGGGGACAATTCCCTGAAACAATCCAGTCATTTGTAAACAGCTCAATTTTTTTGTGCTTCCTCAAACTCTCGCTACTAGCCCAATTTTTAAACCACTCTTGAAGTTCCAACAGGCACTGGTACCTCAACTGAATGTGCAGTCGCTTCTTACCCTCTTCAACAAATTTATACTTGAACCACCACCGCTTGGAAAATTTGAGCTTTTTGTTTCTCATCGCTTGTTGAAGAACCAAACTGGTTTGCAACAACCGCTCATTCACCATTAAAATCTGCTCAGACACAACTTCTTGTCCATGACCTGCAGTACTCTCTATTATCCCAAGCATCATACCTAGAAAACATCTCACATTAACAATTCTGGCCACAATGAACATCTCTTGATGTTCTCTCTTATCAGACATTAGCTTTAAGTGGCTTGTGTATCTATTTTCTCTCGTCGTCTCTACATTTCTGTTCATGAACTCACATTTCCAAAACTTTTCTTCCATGTAACAAGCACCTTTGAGCACGGACCAAGTTTTGGAAAACTTGTTCTTCTTCTTTATCACTGCAACTTTAGCTCTTGAACAAAAATCTTTGTACATAACACCGCTTCTGTAAATTAGTTTGTGTGCAACTCGTGGCTTGCCTCTCTGTTGTTTCCTCTGTTTGAATTTGAACCTCCACCACTTGGCGCACTTAATATGTCTCTGCTTACTTTGTTCTCTATGAGGTAATGTCTCGAACACTTGGTGTGCAACTTGATTGTTAGTGACACTTTTTGACTTCTGAAGCAACACATCCCTTGATTTTGTGTATGAAGCTTGTAATATCATTTCTTGATGATCAAACAAGTCATCACAGCCAACAACATATTGCAAATCCTCGCAAACAACTGGTGAAGCATTGTGAAATCGAAGGCTAGTTTCTAAGTTTGAAACTGGTACCTGAAATTGTGGAGTTGATGCTTCCTCCATGATTGCTCCATGTACTAAATTGTCTTCGAAGACAATCGATTCCATCTCAACCTCAATTCCTTCTTCTTCGTTATCCTCCTCAGCTTGCAGATCACTATCTCTCTTAAGTGGAAGGATCCCAACGTTATCAATGTTGCTTCTAGGATGTGCATACTCATATAATCTTCCAATTGAGAAACATTGCTGAATTGTTTGAGGCTGAAACATCCTTACATTCACTTGAGTATCAGATCTCAGCCCAGCCAAGTAAACACTAACCAAGTATGCTTCAGATAGCTTCACACGAGACTTAATCAGCTCAAATTTTTCATGGTACTCCTCAATTCCTTCTGTTTCATGCAACTGTTGCAGTTCTGCAATCGAATCATCCACATGCTTATTATATCTCACTTGCAACAGCAGTTTGTAACTCCACCAATCATTCCTAACATGCTTCCACCACATAGATTGTATAATTGATTGGTGCAAGGTCGCAACAATGTCATCGAAATGGATTGAAGCGAGACCAACTTTTAACTCCTCCGGAGTATGATTAATTACGAAAAATTGTTCAATCTGAAACAACCAACCCTCGATGTTATCACCATTAAACCGTGGAAAATCAACCTTCCCTAACCTGTGAAGATCTGAGTGCGATCGAAACCTCATCTCCGCCGCCGTTTCACGAACCACTGCGGTCGCTTCTCTAGCCACCGTCTCGCGCACTACTGCTTCATTCAACAACATCGATCTAGTTTCTGCCATTGATTCCGAGGAAGAATGGCTCTGATACCTTTGATGTAGATAAATCAATACTTCATTCAATCACCAAAACCAATTACAAATCCAGAGTTCTAATGTTCATGAAACAAGAGAAACTCAGATTCACCTTGTAAGATCTCTTGATGGATCTTCACAGAGGATGAATCATGTTATTCAAAACCCAGAAAACTCGAAGAGAAAGAACAACAAACTTTTCAATTTCACGATTAATTCTGTAATTTGATCTTCAGCTTCCTTTAAACACAACAACTTCTGATACTTCATCTCAACCGTTGCTTCTTCTCTAATCTCCATCGTCCACGTGTCTCTTCTTCTTTAACCTTCTTATTACTGTATCAGTTAGTGATAACAATAGTACTCCCTCTAAATTTTAAGTGATGTTTAGACATATGTTAGTGATAACAATACATGCATGCATATCTTGTATTTCAAATAATGTTTATTGCATAAAGCAAAGAAATACAACACACTCTTTGAACTACAAACCAATCACCTAGAAAGTATAGGGATTAATAGAGCACAAAATACATCACACGCACATCACCACAATAAACAGCGTTTTAATATGAACTAAAAAGAATATTTTATTTAAAGAGGCCAAAAGCTTTATAGGTACAAAAAAAAGTCAGTATTTTGCGAAGATTATGATGTAAGAAGCTGTGAAAAGGATGGCGAGAAGAGGGAATGAGACTGTTTTTGATCCATTTCCATGTTCTGTTCATAGAGATAATGTCAAAATAGATAATAGATACGATTAGGTTCCATATAAGTTAGTCCTTTACCTGAGGTGTTTGATGATCCTGCATGCGAATTAACCGAAGAACTACCTGAAAATGATAAAACTTCTGAGAGAGACAAATTAAAGATAACAAAGAGATAAATCTAATGGAAAGTGAATCTATCTTACTATTGCAACGACTAGCCGGAGGAGTTTGAACATGACAAGCTTTAGGCAATGCAAGAGCTTGTGTCTCATTAACATTGATCCCAAGCTGAGAACCTCCACCATCGAGAACTTGACACAAACACTCAGAAGAATATCGAACAACATGAGCCAACTGGCTACAACATTGTTGAGACGGAGTAGAAGTGTTTTGGGTGATGTAGCCGAGACACGGCGCCATGCTGATTAGGACATTTGTGCAACTCGACTGAGCAGAAACTGTGGATATCACTGCCATTAAAGCTATAAACAACATTAAACACATTCTACGTTTCATATTTTTCTTGTGTTGTTCCAAGAATCTCTCAAGAATTTGTTTTAATTTAGTTTTTTGATCGCTTAATGGTTTGTGTTGGAGTCTTTTGTGGTTACGTAAATATATAAGAAGTTGAGGCCGTATAAAAAGACGAAAATAAGGATGTGGCTCAATTTGCATGACCAACTTTTGCAACACTTTATGGTGAAGTTTGTGAAAGAATCTGATTACGTTTGGTTTTAGGATGTTTGTTGAATTATTTTTGTGATTATTTATTTTTTAGAGTTTCACGTGATTGAAATTTGATTCCTGACCTTTTAAATGGAAAAAAAAAAAAAGATATGTAGGGGAAAATGTTTTCTTTTAAGTCTATATATTACGTTCGTATATAATTGAATATGTTCTTGTACGTTGATGTATATATTACTTCTGTGTTTTTTTTTTTTTTTTGATAAACCCTATCGGCTATCCGGTCGGCCTCTGGTAGGAACACACCGTGTTAACGGTTAGGCCCTTACGGGCTACCACTCTGCCTATCTCGAGTTTGGAATGTCTTCCGACTAAGTGCCTGGGGGTAGTCAGGCCGCCTGCATTTCTGACTACCAGGTAAACCAATTGGACCAAAGTCCAACTGACAGACTTCCCACAATAATATTGATAACAGCAGGAGGAGTCGAACCATGGAGAGGAGGGAGTTTCATCCAACCACCCTGGGCCCGTCAAGCCACCAGCCCACCATCAACTGACAGACTTCCCACAATAATATTACTTCTGTGTTTTGATAACATATATTACTTGTTAGTAATTTAAAAGTACGTAGCTGCAAGAAGAATTAGTTTAAACTGAATATGCAATATTGACACTGTTTTGTTTGTGAATCCCTCAAGAGTTAATTTTAATTTGGTTGTTTGAGTTTATTGGTTTGTGTTGGAGTCTTTTTGTTTTTGTGAGTAAGTATATAAATTAAAACTGATATATGTCGCATTAAAAAGAAACAAAATAAGGATGTACATGTTGCTTAATCTGCATGACCAACTTCTCTTTTTGATAAAGAGCATGACTAACTTTTGCAATATATAATAAAGTTTGCGTGCTTATTCAGAAACTGAAATTCCGAGATGATCCATTATACATAAACCATAAGCCAACACTTCACGATCTTCATGACCACGGAAGAACCAAAACCATGACAGTAAATTATAAACATCTTGAGCCGAAACTTAACTCGAACCACCGAGTCCACGGTATCAACGAATATCCCAACTGACCAAGGAGCTTCAAACACTCAGAAGAATACCGGACAACATGAGCCAACTGGCTACAACATTGTTGAGACGGAGTAGAAGTGTTTTGAGTGATATAGCCGAGACACGCCGCCATGCTGATTAGGACATTTGTGCAGCTTGACTGAGCAGAAACTGTTGACATCACTGCCATTGAAGCTATAAACAACATTAAACACATTCTACGTTTCATATTTTTTTTGTGTTGTTCCAAGAATCTCTCAAGAATTTGTTTTAATTTAGTTTTTTGATCACTTAATTGTTTGTGTTGAAGTCTTTTGTGGTTACGTAAATAAATAAGAAGTTGAGGCCGCAGAAAAAGACGAAAATAAGGATGTGGCTCAATTTGCATGACCAACTTTTGCAACACCTTATGGTGAAGTTTGTGAAAGAATCTGATTACGTTTGGTTTTAGGATGTTTGTTGAATTATTTTGTGATTATTTATTTTTTAGAGTTTCACGTGATTGAAATTTGATTGCTGACCTTTTAAATGGAAAAAAAAAGATATGTAGGGGAAAATGTTTTCTTTTTAAATCTATATATTACGTTTGTATATACAGTAATTGAATATGTTCTTGTACGTTGATGTATATATTACTTCTGTTTTCTGATAAACATATTTTACTTGTTAGTAATTTAAAAGTACGTAGTTGCAAGAAGAATTAGTTTAAACTGTATATATGCAATATTGACACTGTTTTGTTTGTGAATCCCTCAAGAGTTAATTTTAATTTGGTTGTTTGAGTTTATTGGTTTGTGTTGGAGTCTTTTTGTTTCTGTGAGTAAGTATATAATAAAAACTGATATATGTCGCATTAAAAAGAAACAAAATAAGGATGTACATGTTGCTTAATCTGCATGACCAACTTCTCTTTTGATAAAGAGCATGACTAACTTTTGCAATATATAATAAAGTTTGCGTGCTTATTCAGAAACTGAAATTCCGAGATGATCCATTATACATAAACCATAAGCCAACACTTCACGATCTTCACGACCACGGAAGAACCAAAACCATGACAGTAAATTATAAACATCTTGAGCCGAAACTTAACTCGAACCACCGAGTCCACGGTATCAACGAATATCCCAACTGACCAAGGAGCTTCAAAAAAAACTCTCCAAGATATCAAATATTCACGAAGATATCTGCACAACAGCTACGAGAAAATTGTGATCTTGTTGCTTTTCAAGTCGTAGTCTATATGATATAGAGAGAATGGGAGAAGGCATGGTGAGAAGTGAGAACCCGCAACCGGCAGATCGTAAGACGATTTGGATTGACAAACAAGTAAAAAATCGGATTTTGGCAATTTGCATACAGGGAGATATGCGGTACGAGGCAGCCTACCAGTCATGGATCAAAGCTCGTAGTTAAATTAATTTTCTACTATAATGTTTTAAATTTTTTTCTCTGCCATATCATTTCAAGAAAACGCGATGCACTAGTTATAAAAACGTTTATTTATTTTTTAATATAATTTAACATTAAATTAAAATAACAGCTCGATGGATCGTTAGAGACGGAAAAATCACAATCGATGTTCTTGTTAAGATTTTACAGTTTCACAAGCATCTTTCTTATTTCTTAATAGCAATTTGTTTAAATTTATTTTTACAACTTAGATTTTATATATCAACTAAACTATAAATTGTGGGCTTCGATACTCCATTTAAAAGCCCAAACTAAACTAATCTTCAGACGTGGACGCATCTTAGTGGCTAATAACTACCACCACCCAAAATCTGCCTCGTTCCGAGAAAAATCAACGCAAGGGCAAATTAGTAACTTCACTATATAACCTCCGCGTCTGTTATATTTCCCGCCACCATTGTTACATAAGTCTTCTTCACTCGTCACTACGGATTCAGCCATTAAGTAAAAATCTCTGTAACTAACTAACTAATCACAGAAGAAGAGAGATCTTTGAAGCAACAACAATGGCCGCCACAATCATCACCGTCGTCTTCAGCCTCATACTCGCGATCACCTTCTCCTCCTCTTCCTCCGCCGTATCCGCGACGCAGCAGGCACCATCGTCTTCTCCACCGATCCCGACTTGTACGGAGGAGCTCGTCATGTTCTCTCCTTGCCTTCCTTACGTCTCCGCTCCACCAAACAACATGTCAGAGACTCCGGATCCTATTTGCTGCTCGGTTTTTACCTCCTCCGTTCATTTTAGCGCCGGAAACTGCCTCTGTTATCTTCTCCGGCAGCCGATGATCCTTGGATTCCCGTTGGATCGATCTAGATTGATTTCTCTTTCCCAGATCTGTACCGATCAGAATTCCGACGAATCTTTCGAATCTCTCTGTTCGCTATCAGGTTAATTTCGAATTCTTCTATCTAATTGGATTGATTAAATCGAATCTTAGATGTGTAATTTCTAGGGTTTTGATCTGTGGTGCAGAATCGCCGGAGCTTCCGCCGCTTCAGAGTATTCAGTTCACAAATCCGTTTGTTTCCGGTAAGAAACGGATCATTTCGATGGATTCTGTTAAGTTTCGTTGACATGAGACTTAAGCTTCAATCAAATCATATTCCGCAGGTAATCACGATTCCGCTTCTCCTCCATCAGTCGGCTTAGCCCCGGAAGTTTCACCAAGCTCCGATCAATTCTCACCGGAAACAGCCACCATAGCACCACCACCACCACCAACAGACTCACAATACATCTCAAGCGGCTATCATAAGATCAGAAACTTCTGGTTCCAATCGACTATCATCATGACTTTTGCCACTTCAATTCTCACTCGTATCTGAACGGTATAAAGCTCTCTGTGCTTATTACTGCTTAGGTTTACTTCATTGATACTTAGATTTTACCATTGGGATTGTGTCAAAGTCTTCCCTATGTAGAAACACAAACAAAGCTACTTTTGTGCTACTATTAGTCTATTAGTTAGATTGTTTCTGCTGTGACTGGTGTCTCCTTTTAACACGGATGATATATAGTAGAGGAAGATGTTTAGGTTTACATTTCATTACTTGTTGCTTCATACACGCAATAAGGGAAAAGAAAAGTTATCATTTCAAAGTTCAACACATGCATATCATCATTATCTAGGAACTTTAACATCCAGGGAGCCTCAAGTTCAATAGAGAAGTAAATGTGAGCTGAGTAACATAAATGTCTAATAAACCACAATAAAAACAACTCAGGCATCAGCAGTGGTGATACGCCAATCGTACTCACGGGCTCCGTCCTTGTCGACAATCTTGATCACAAAGTTTGGTGGTGCAATGACCAGCCTTGACCTGATCTCGAGTATGCATTTGTCGACCAATTCAATGGCTTCTTCAACAGACATGTCGCTGCGGTAGTGTCTGTCCATTGTAGAGAGAGAGAAGTATGAGCCGTAACCGAATGCTCCCTTATCAACCTTGTGAAGAGTTGCAATGTAGTCAATGTAGTATAGAGATGCCCCGGCTTCTTTGTCGTAGCCAGCCATCAGGATGTTCACCGAATACGGATTCTGTAATCAAACAGACAAACAGCAATGAAGAATTTAAAAACATTAAGTGCGAATATGCAGACCAGTCATAAACAACCAAAAGAAGCCAGGGAAGATCATTTAACAATCTATAGCAAAGAATTCATAGGTATATAACCCACTCAACAACACTGTCCAACGTAGGAAGATCTACCCTAAATCGGTAAACGACCACAAATCAGTTAGCCGTGAGTATCAGATTTTCACAATCAAGTCACGGAAGTCAGAGTAACCTTGAAAGGTAGCACAAAATTCCTAGTCTTGTGAATTCTTAAGTCAATGAATAATAATAACTTATCAAGCTTGGCATAAGAAAACTATAAGGTTTAATCCGAGTTTCATCTTGTCTGCATCATTTAACAACTTCATCCAACTCGAAGAGAAACTTCTGTAACATCCAAGCACATAAACTGCAACAAAAGTCTAACTGTCTTTCCAAAATACCTTGAATGTTTCTAAAGGCCACACTATGTCTAGATAATGAACACATTAGGTAAAACTTTCCAATGGCATTTACCTACTCTGAGGTCAGAATCTCAGAACTACTAGTATCAACAATGGTTTCACACCACCATACAAGAGGAAGTGAAACACAAGGAGTTATAAGCTTATCAACAAGCATTAAGTATCAAAACCACACTATGACAGAGGAAAGCTTCAACCAAATTGACATGTTTAACTAAAGCAAAAGAGGAAACAAAACACAAGAATAAGCACTAAAGCATCTAAAGCAAAGAGATTCGAAACCCTAATTCCCCAATCTCACAACCAAAATAATCCCAAAATTCAGAAATTGAAAAACCCTAGAGAGCTCACCTTTCTCAAAGCAGTAGCGAGCTCTCCACGAGTGAAGTTAGCAGCAGCAGCAGTAGTCAAAGGGAGCCCATTACGAAACTGATACAGTGACACATTCTTCTGAACATACTCCGTAAACTGAACCCTAAAGTAAATCCAAAAAAAACACGAATCAAATCCATGTACTACTACTGATCACAGAGAGAGAGAAACGACGGAGGTTTTTTTACCGATCACCAGGCTCGCCACTAGCGGCGACGAGCTTGTGAGAGTCAAGAACCATGATCTTGTCCTCCTTGTTCTTGTGAAGAAGAATACTGTGAACTGCTGATGTATCCGCCGCCACGATAGCGAATCCATTCCCAACTAGACCAAATACACACTCCATCTTCAGATCTGTTTCTTCTCAGTTCTCAGGCCAAAAATTTCTCAGTTCCTTAAGATCTTCCGGTCGCTGGAGAATATAAGAGTTTCTTAGATCAAAGCGACTTGGGGAACAAGATGGGTTTGATTTGGTAATTCTGAAAGATAGTCAGGGGTATTTTAGACATATTATGTTATGCTGAAATTTCTATTTTTTAAAGTAGGAGGGTGTGAAGTAAGAGTAATAGGAAAATTTAGGGGTTAATTTGTAAATAAAAAAGGAACCTCTCGTTTTCTTCTCTCTCCCGCTTCTTGCTGAGTCGCCGACGTCTGGAGAAGAATAAGGTCTAACAATGGAAGTCTGAGATGGTTCCTTTAGTTTCTAATTATAAAAGAGAATTTCGTTTTAATTTCTCTTTTTGTTTGTCTCCTCCTCGATTTCAAGTGATTGATTTATGTAAATTTTGAGCTTCCCTTCAAAGGAAATGACAAGTTTCGTGATTCTACTCGAGCTCTATTACTTTTGGTGAATAAGGGATAAAGAAATTGATTCCAACAGATTAGAAATGGCGTATTCTGTTCTTCGGCTTCGAAAGGTTTCAGCTTTGGGGATTTCTCGTGTTCTTCAAGGTTGGAGCTTTAAAACCCTTTTTTGCTCTGTTTTTATGTTTCTCGTTTGGTTAGTAATAGTGGAGTCTAGTTAGGACTTACCAGAAGTTTTTGATCAATTGGATGCAGAAAGTTGAAACTTTTGAATTCGAAGTTCGCAATATCTGACCTTTTATGAGCTTTGTAGCTTCTACAATCGTTTCTGTGTAGTTTTGAAAAGAATTTTTTGATTGGTTATGTTGTATCTTATGATGTCTTCGTATTGTCAATTGTTTCAGCTGATCAGGGAAGTTTGTGGCGGTTTCACTTAGAACCTGAGTTTGGTGAGTTTTTGAGATTAGGTGTCTTGACTAGGAACTACAGAAAGAACTCAGGATCTCCAAAGTTTGATTTCACTGGCACGGGAACCACCTCAAAGTTTGATTTCACTGATCTCACGTAAGACTAAAACTTCTTGTAGATTTTATTGTTTGATTAGACATGGATATTGTGTTAGCTCCCCAATAGCAACTAATTGCGATTCTCTTTGCAGTTCCATTTTTGTTGTGGAGAGATTAGTAAAGGGGAACTGATTTATATTTATGTCATAACCTTGAATTTTAGCTGTCCTCATACATGGTATCCAATAGCTCGGAAGAAGAAGCGTAAGGTCATTCTACATGTTGGCCCGACAAACAGCGGGAAGACATATAGTGCCCTTAAGCACCTTGAGCAGAGTTCTTCAGGTATGCCTGGAAGGTGACTGATAAACCTTTTTTTGGGAAGCCATTTCTTGAACTGTTTAAGATTGTTTTTTTCACTTGAAGGCGTATATTGTGGTCCGTTAAGATTGTTGGCATGGGAGGTAGCCAAACGGTTAAACAAAGCAAATGTTCCATGTGATTTGATCACGGGACAAGAGAAAGACTTAGTGGAAGGGGCAACACACAAAGCTGTGACAGTTGAAATGGCTGATGTTACGTCGGTCTATGATTGTGCCATCATTGACGAAATTCAGGCTAGTCTTGCTTGACTCTGGCTGAAGAAATCGACAATAGCTGTTTGTTTTCTTATTCTCCTCCTTTCTTTCCCTAATTTCAGATGGTGGGATGTACACAAAGGGGATTTGCATTTACTCGTGCTCTACTTGGAATCGCGGCTGATGAGCTACATTTATGTGGCGATCCTGCTGTCGTACCTCTTGTTGAAGATATACTGAAAGTAACTGGAGATGATGTCGAGGTATCATGTTTATTCGAGCTAGAGTCCCTCTTTCTTTTCTAATCCTCTTTTATATATATTAAAATATTGTGATATTTAAGACACCCTTGATGTAATCACGACCTCTTAATTCCTTTTATTTTGAATGAAGGTTCGAACATATGAGAGGCTTTCACCATTAGTCCCTTTGAAGGTGCCTGTTTCATCAGTTTCCAGTATCAAAACTGGGGATTGTCTTGTCACCTTTTCCCGAAAAGATATATATGCATATAAGGTTAGCAATTATTAATCTTGTTCTCTCTTCCTGGATTTTTCATTTTCCTGCTTGAATTTGCTGCCGGAAAGAAATAAAACATTTTGGCACCATATTTAAATGCATACATAGCTCTATTCTCTATGTGTCATGAGTATTGAATGTAATCTGTTGCCTTAATATACATATTCTGTACTCTTATTTTAGTCTTTGTTTTTTTGTACCTTTTCGTAGAAAATAATTGAACGTGCGGGGAATCATCTTTGCTCTGTGGTTTATGGTTCATTGCCTCCAGAGACTCGCACGGCACAGGTTTGAGTTCCTTACTGTTTTGGCTCTAGGCTTTAACTGGATGGTCTAAGAATTATCTCTTTTGTTTCCCCAATTTAAATGCTTTAAAATCTGCAGGCGACAAGGTTTAACGACGAGACCAATGACTTTGATGTGCTTGTTGCCAGCGATGCAATTGGCATGGGCCTTAATTTGAATATTTCAAGGATTATCTTCTCGACCCTTCAAAAATTTGATGGTTCCGAGACCAGAGACCTAACAGTATCTGAGATTAAACAAATTGCAGGTATATTTCAACAAAAAGTACCAACTAAATCTTCAAGAGTATTGGTATGTGTATGTCCTCTCTAATGTTCTCATTATCCTGTTGTAGGGAGAGCTGGCAGATTCCGATCAAAGTTCCCTATTGGCGAAGTAACTTGTTTGCACAAAGAGGATCTTCCGTTACTCCACTCTTCGCTCAAGTCTCCTTCACCTCTTCTTGAGGTAAATTTATAGCATTAAGATTAATTCTCTACATCTTTTACTTCTTATGCTTGTCTAAGTTTGCACAAACCTCCTATCATGCAGCGTGCTGGACTATTTCCAACATTTGACCTCCTATCTAGGTATTCCCAAGCACACCCTAAACACGGGTTGTACCAGATATTGGTAAGATATATTTTCTTCCTTCGTTATTCGCGGTCCTTATGAATGGATCTGAAATCATGGCTCATTAACTTTGGCAGGAACATTTTGTTGAAAATGCTAAGCTGTCTTCAAACTACTTCATCTCTAATGTTGAAGACATGATGGTAAAGCTCAGCTATGATGTAGTGTTCAGATATCAGAAAGAGAATGTTTTCTTAACACATGTTGGTCTTGATTTTCAGAAAGTTGCCGCCATTGTTGATGAATTACCCCTCGGATTGCAAGAGAAGTACCTTTTCGTGGTCAGGTAATAGCAAAAATGATCATATTTTCTTCTTTTCTTGTTTTCTGCATCCAGTAAGATTCTAAATATATACAAGTTTGGACTGATCTAATGTTACTTATGTGCAGTCCAGTTGATATAAATGACGAAATTTCAGGCCAGGGACTTGCACAGGTGAAAAAATTGAAGCTCTTATCTTTTGATATTCTTTTTCTTTTGAGACATGAATAAATGGTATCTATGTCTGCAAAAAAATTGTTCATTTTACTTTTTTCTTTGTACATCAGTTTGCTCAAAACTTCTCGAAGGCAGGCGTTGTGAGGCTCCGGGAGATACTTGCAGCCGACAGAGTTAAGGTTCCCAAAACACCAACAGAACTCAAGGACCTTGAATCCATTCACAAGGTAACATCTTTCTTTTCCTCTATGAGTAGTGATCAAAGAAACAGTATGTGTTTTATTCAAGAACTTGGGATAAAACAGAATCTTCAAAGCTCATATGCAGTAGTGAAATAGATGGGTTTACTTTCATTTTGATCTTCATTGTTCATTAACCAAAATCAAGAGACAAAATTGGATTTTGTTAGTTTAACTAGATGACTATTGAACAGGTTTTGGATCTGTACGTATGGTTAAGCTTAAGGCTAGAGGATTCTTTTCCTGACCGCGAAGTAGCAGCTTCACAAAAGTCAATCTGCAATATGTAAGTAGCTAGAACTAGTAAACGGCATTATCTTTTCCTCTGCTTTGCTTGACGTTTTGATCCAAAGAAACATTGAATTTTACAGATTGATTGAGCAATTCTTAGAGGGAAATAGATTAAGCTCTCCTACCCGTGTCTCACGATATCTAAGACAGCAAAAATTCTGAGAAAACATTTCAAGTTTGGTTGGACAATTGTCTTGTTCCGTTCGTTGGTTTGGTCACTAAAAGGAAAAAGAAAAGATGAGTGACTGTGCCAAATGATCTTAGCACTACTTGATAATGGAGCATTCAAAAGTTGTCATTAACAGTGAATAAACCATTTGATTTATTTGTTTATTTTATCATTTCGTTGAAGCATGACATGCTTTGATAATCATTCCATAATAGTATTGTTTTTACTTAAGATATGAAGTAATTTTCTTCTTTTCACAAGTCTTATTTTATAACAAACAGAGCAAGTACCAACTGTTTCATCAGATATGGAAGTCATTTTGCAGCATGAGTTTATTTTGTTGAATTAGATTATAGAATAACTTTTGTCTCCACTTCTTTTAATTCTTACCTTTATGACCTTAGTTATGTTGAATTAAATAATCAATGTCTTAGACATCCTTAAGTCTTCTAGCTCTGTTATATCATTTGATCTCACAGCTTTTATGATTTTATTTAAGGATTTAATTATGAATTTACTCTTTTTTTTGTTCTTTGGATTTTCGTGGTTGATGAAACTTAAAAGAAGGATTGACATATACTAGTACTACTATTCATCATCTCCTGAACCATACAATTGAAACATATATATGTATCATTCCGCCGCCTTTACTCTTTAGTGGTATCAACTACCTTCAAGCATCTTGGCGGTAGATGTATGCATATCCATTATTTCTCCCCAACCTTTCCCCCATGAGTTTTGAATTATCCAAAATAGTCTTCCTTTTGCTCTATTGCCTTGTCCTCTCATCAGTAGCCTCCTTGGATATAACATGAACATGGGATCCTCAGGTAGAGAAGCATCAATTGACCAAATCTCGAGTCTCTGTAGCTGGAAATTCAATCAAAGAAATTGCTACTGATTCTGATTCAGCTACTGCAACCGATGATCCAGTGATCCAGTAAGTCCTAATTCTTTTACAATCAATTCAAGCCAAATCCAGAAGTTTTCTTAGACCATAAGGCTTAATCTTTGTGGCTCTGTTTGATCCACTAGAGAATTTGATGTCAATATTGTCTATTAGTATAGTTTAGGATTGAAAAGGTCTTATATATATTTTTATTTGGTTTGCAGGAGTGTTGTATATGTTTGGCAAAGTATAAAGACAAAGAAGAAGTAAAGAAGCTTCCATATTCACTTTAACTGTGTAGATCAATGGCTTCATATCATATCATGTTGTCCTCTCTACAAACAAGATTTTCCAAGATGACAAAGCAAATAACCCTAAAGCAGACAAAAGCTCTCAAGAGTCAAATCTCTGATTAAGTTCAATAGTTTTTCTTTACGGTTTCTTCTTTCAAAGGTTTAAAATTTTTAGTTCTCGTTTAAAGCGAAGTCGATTACTTGTGTGAGTGTCAAATTTTTTGTACTGGAAGAACTCACCAGTAATCGTAAAGTACATTGTGAGTAGATGATGCAAATCACAATAGTAAAACATTTATAAAATCTTAATATAGTGTTTATACTACTTCATATCGTCTAATGAATGAGCTAAACATGGGTCTTTAAATAGTGTATTATCAATCTAAACTAAAAATATTTTATATACCATGCTCTTGGTTGTGCACCTCTTAGTTATCCTTTTTTGTCCACGTACAGTTTGGTGGTAGGCGTAATTACACAAAAATGGTCTTCAACTTACATTGTGTTAATGTTATAATTGAATAACGCGTTATTGACTGGCATGAGAGCCACAACATGTTGTTTTCTGATAATGGCTTCCAAATCAACATCTTCAATCTCAGTCAAATGAGTGAAGTTATCTACCGTGTAGTAGTTTGTCTAAAAAACAATATAAAGATGTAATAAGAAGTACTTATATTTGTGATCGATATGGAAACCAACAAATAGATATATTACTTACTTCATTATGAAATCATTTTCGAGCCTTAATTTCTCCATGATGGCAGAATTGACTCTTTTTGCAAACGCCAGATGATTTCATGTAATTGAGAGTCGTCTTGATGTTCGAGATCCCCTTGTCTAAATCATACTTCACGTTGTTGAGAATGTATTGGGTAGACAACTCTTCTTGTAACTGAATGAAAATGTCAATGTTATAAAGAGCTTGTATGACTCTCACCACAGAGACGACCAACAAGTAGCTGCATAAAAACGCATGAACAATATTAGTGGCATCAAATAAAATTCAAACACAACAGAGGACAACGATTAAAGGCTAAGTAAATTAGTTAATACAATGAAATAAGACAAGCATCAAATTGTTTACTTATTTGATATACAACTCAAGTTAAATTTAGTTGCCACTATTGTTTTCAATCTATGGAAATCTTGAGACCTGAGAATAATTATAGAAATATGAATTTATAGTTTTTCTTTACTTAATTATCTTTTACAATTCTATATATCTTTTAATTTGAAGCATAATTACTTTCAAATCCTTGATCCACCACATATCCGATAACACAAGGGTAAAGCCTCCAATCCCAAAAATCATCCTATATAGATAAAATATTAAGTACTAAATAAATAAACATATACTAATTATCACTCAAATCCTATCAATATATATATAATTGGTCATTTGATTTTAAACAAAATCATGTTATCTCATCTTCATAATCAGCAAATCTAACTACACTTTCAGTATTTGATGGTTCTCTTGAAACCTATTAAAATGGAGTAAATTTATCAAGATATAGAAAAAAAAATTCGGAAGCCCATTCAAAAAAAAGGAGAGAGATGATGTTAGTCACTAAATGACAAATCAAATTAGACTTGTAATGATAATATACCTCTGAATTTTTAACTTCTTCTATCTCCCTAGATGTACTAGCTCCTCCTCTAGAGATCTATAAAAACAAATATATTTGAGTCAATCTACATTTAATTTTGTCTTTGGAACATAGAAAACTACCTAGAATTTTCTTAGGTCAAAAACTGTGCATGCAAGATAATCACGGGAGGAACATCGACAAAGCTAAGATCAGGATAAGGCATATCGTAGCAGTAGATTTTCATAAACATATCTAAAAGCTATAAAATACCAAAAATAATCCTACATATATAAAATATTAAGTACTAAATATATAAACATATATGAATTATCATTCAAATCCTAACAATATATATATATATATATATAACCGGTCATTTGATTTTAAATAAAATTATGTTACCTCATCTTTATAATCCGCAAATGTAACTACATTTTCAGTATTTGATGGTTCTCTTTAAACCTATTAAAATGGAGAAAATTTATCAAGATATACCAAAAAAAAAAAAATTGAAAGCCCATTCAAAAAAAAAAAAGAAGAGAGATGATGTTAGTCACTAAATGACAAATCAAATTAGACTTGTAATGATACTAGACCTCTGAATTTTAAACTTCTTCTATCTCTCTAGATGTACTAGATTCTCTAGAGATCTATAAAAACAAATAGATTTGAGTCAATCTATATTTAATTTTGTCTTTGGAGCAACAACAAAGATGTCTATTGGACCTTTACGTTTTTTCGAATACAAAGGACCACTCTTGCCTTGAGGTCCTTGACCTCTCTGACTACGGTGAAATTTAATTGCTTCCTCCTTAATCATAATCATCATATTGAGTGGTTGGTGGTGGCATCATTTGAACAGTGGCTTTAATTTTATCCTTTTTAAGCATGAAACTTTTAATTTCTTCTTTCCCATGATATGGAACTTTAGGACATAGATTAACATTCCTATAACCTCCAACCATATGATGTTATTACAAAAGTTACACTTCCAACTACCATTTTTAAGAGAAATAACAGTTGCATATTTCTTAATTTGCTGGATCAAGCTCCTTAATTGAAACTGAATCAGACATGATGAATTGCTAATGAAGAAGAGTAAAGAGAATAGAGAGACTAAAGTTAGATAAGAGAATAGAAGAAAAATTATCATGAGAAGATGAAAAGAGTTTAACGTGAGATGAGAAGACACAGGCTGGAGAGAAGGTTTATACAAAGAGTTTTTAGTTTTTCTAGGAATAGTTGTAGCAGCAATTAATTTTGAAAACATAAAAAATAAGCAAATGTGAAGATTTGCTGTCAAAAAAAAAAAGCAAATGTGAAGATTTAAGCATAATTATCTAAAAATTAAAATGAAAATATGATACAAATAAATTTATGAAAAATAATTTACTTTTAATTTTGAAGACGCGTAGCGACGTGAGACATGCTAAATGTTATGGCATTTTGGATCGAAATCCTTTGTCACCAAGCCTAGCCCCATCTATTTAAGGCGATGAACCCTGAGACTAGACATCGCCTAGGCGCACCTTTTAAACATAAAACTCTCCTAAGTGAAACCGTGGCAAGAAGCAAGAGAATAAAATAGGATCCAAAATCCTTTAAATGGACAAAAACCTATTACTAAAATACTCCTAGAGGGGGATAGGGCTAAGCGAAGCGAAAAGGATTTTCCATGAGACGGGAAATGAAAACTATTAGCCCCACACGAAGTTTGTGAATAAGTGATTGTCTGATAATTTTCCCATTGAAGCCGAACTTAAACCTGCACTCGAGAGAAAGCAAGATTGAAGTCCTTTAAACCCCCAAAACAAGCAGAGACGGAGCTACATGAGCTAACAACGGCATGCAATGCTTTCTCACTCTACCAAGATCCTCTAGATATCAGTAGCACGGAGCTTAGCAACATCACATCCTCTAGGAAGCCTTATTAGCACCTCCAAAACGCAAAGATAATCACAAGAAAAGCAACGTCTCTTTATTGAAGCTTCCACTAGTCATATAATCTTCAAGTTAGATAACAAAAGAGATCAAAAGAATGGGCAGAAATAAACCAAGGAAGCAAGAAATCTGAACATCAAGAGCATAGCACACAAGTATGATATGCATGAAGATATGTGGAACTGGTACTAGGCAACGACGATCTATGGCAGTCCTATCCTAAGATTAAGCTTAACCTTCAACTCTTTCCAAGCAAAAACTCAACAGCAAAACCTGCAAATGCAAATCAAGTCTCAAACAATATCAAGTTAGTAGTAGCAAGTCTACTTCTTTGGCTTGAGAGATGGTATGAAAATCTGATAAAAGAGAATCCATGAAACCCAGAGAAGCTGGCTCTAGCTACGCTCAAACAAAACAATCTTCAGACCGCAAAACCCCCAGAGAAGAAAAGAGCTAGTAAACGGACAAGCCGAAGGATGCAGCCTAATCAGTAACCGCCTAACCATTTCTAAAAAAACATCAGAGAGACACACGACTCAACCACAAGGCGAGGGTAAACAGAAACAAAGCGAAAGAAAAGAAACATGCACATATGGAGATAAAGAACTCACCAACCCCTGATGGAGCGTACCACATGCACATCACTGAGCCACATGAGGAGATCCGCTGCATGCCAAAAGGAAGCAGATCAAAATACCAACCTTCATGTAACATCCCGATTTCATGAAAAATGGTGGTGCATGAGAAGAGATTCAAAAAATTTGATTTGGCCACCTATGCAGTTATCTTTTTGGTCAACCTATCCTGAAAGAACTCTAAAGTTAAGCGTGCTTAAGCTGGAGAAATTTTAGGATGGGTGACTTATTGGAAAGTAATTGTCGGTACCGTGTAAGTGAAAATAAAACACGGGAAAGATCACTTGGTTAACAAGTTTTTAAAGCCTTTGGAAGTAGCGAATCGACCATCGGAAAAGGATGGGCCCACAGACCAAGAGATAACATGGGCCCACTAAAGCTGGCTGTCAGGGCGTTATACTTTGTCAGACCACTTGTCGTAGGAGATCCTACACCTAGCCAACTAAACCTAGCGAAGCAGCAACGCCACCGAGAACAAAGCAAAGAGAAATCACCAAAAACCACCTTGGGAAAGCAACACTTAACCCTAGTTGTCGTCCCCAAGCAAGCCAATGGGAGAGCGAGATCTTCGGATAGGTAGACTCGCTAAGTTCACAAAGAAGCCACGACAGGCCGACACCTTGTCAGTCGTAGAGTGGAGCTGCCGTTAAAACCCAGCTACACAGCTCTGTCATCTAAAACCCATCAAATCGCGAAGGAGAAGAGCTTGATCGACGAAATGAGAGTACATGGGAACGTTTACACAACCACGGCAATAAGCATCGGTGGCCGGTAAGACGGAATCAAAGAAACCTAGTTTGTAGCATAAGAAGAAGCTTTGAAAGAGAAAAATTGGAGGCCCATATGGTGTACGCGCCATAGACTTATATATCATTGTATCATGGAGCGCACTCTGGTCATTCACCATTTCTCGGATCCGTATCTCCGACTCTCTAGACTTTATATGTTCTAAAGACTTTGTAATTTGAAAAGATGGAAGCCGAAGGGTTATAAGTTTGGAGTGGTTTTCATTTTTCAGTTAATTTACGATCTGATGAAGAGATTAAATGAAAATTACCCACTTAGTCAAAAAACAAAATTTTGCACGAGGCAAGTCAAGTCGCTTGAGAGAGAGTTACCATTCTTTCATCTATTTACTAGAAGAATTTAAACAAAAATTCATCATTATATAAGATTTAAACAGTTTTAAGACAAGAAAGCAACAAATTTGATTCTTACATGACTGAAATTAGTTATACATGCAAAAGAAATTCTATGACAACTACTTATTATTTAGAAAAAAAACATTAGCTTACCATTTTCAAGCTGTGTGTACACCAAAATTTTTAGTATTATTGATTAGAAATTACACTCATAGGGATTTTCTCTTTGACAACCGCAGTAATGTTGGTCCTTAGGTGTTTTGGGATCTGTTTTTACATCCTCACATGAACATTGAAGAACACGTTGTTTTAGCTTAGATTCCATTTCTTTGTAGCATTTCTTCTTTCCATGAAACCCGCATTTTCCAGGAAATAGGATCTCACTCCAACAGTCTACGGGAGGTGCTCCAGCTTCCGACTCTAATTTTATCAATCAATATATTTAGGTTATAAATATATAAGCAATTAGTAATACCATAGTTTTACAATTAAGTCATATTCTAGAGCTACTTTTTGTGATTGAAAAACAATCAATAAAAGAAATTAATATACTACCTTCAACATGGCTTAGAATCAAAAAGATGAAAACAAAAGAAACCATAATCAAAGTAGTACACCTCATGCTTCAAAATTGATAAATGTTATCTTTATTGTTTGGAGAAATTTTAACTTTTTGTATATTTTGTTGTTGTCACTTGTAAACACTCTTAGTATATATATATACTAACCACAACAAAATAACTTTTCCGATAAATTTGAGAAAGTAAGGATGAGCCAAGTCAACATGATCGGTAGAATCGGTTTCCATTTTTAGAAACATAATTTTTGCTAAAAATCATGTTTTCTTTTCGATTTTTCGGTATTTATTTGTTTTGTTATATAAATACTTTTTTATGGTTATATTTTTTGTACGTCAAATCTGGATTTTGAGGTTTCAAAAAAAATCTATAATTATGTGATTTCGAAATTTTGGAATTTAACCTTTCTTGGTTTTACCTTTGAGGTTTCAAAAAACATGTAATCTTGAAATAGTAGAAAACTTAACAATGGTTAAAGTAAAACCAACGAAGTCTGATTTCCAAAAACAAAAAGAAATTTTCATAATTTGTCTATTGTTCTGTCCATTGTCCAGAACCTCCTAACCATTACTGAAGAACAAAAAAAAACAATGACTAGATTTGAATATTCACAACGACCAAACTAAATTAATTAACAAATATTGTTAAAAGACGTTTTCTTGGAGAAGAAGAAAAATGGCACTTAGTTAATGTCGAGAAAAACAAGACAAGACAACCAAATAGAGGTAGAAAGGGAAATTCAAGGTCCACGAGCCGGAGCAAAGCAGAAACATCCCGGACTCTGATCTTCCGGTATCATTCCGCCGCCTTTACTGGTATCAATACCTTCAAGCATCTTCACCACTTCCTTCATCTCCGGCCGTTTCTGCGGATTACCATCCCAACATGTCTTCATTATGGTCGCCAATGCAGTCGGACAGCATCTTGGTATCTCCGGTCTCAGATTCTTTTTAAAACCATATAACAAAGCTTCAGAATTTGACATTACGTAAGAATCAAGGAAACTAGAAAGGTTTTCTTAGGTCAAAACTTACATGTAAGACAACCGCGGAAGAAACATCGACAAAGCTAAGATCAGGATAAGGCATATCGCAGCAGTAGATTTCCCATAAACATATCCCAAAGCTGTAAACATCGCACCTTCTATTGTATGGCTTACCGTCAATGACCTAAGAAGAACTCTAAGTTTTATTCCATTCGGTTTTGAAAACAGAGAAAGAAATTTTTAGTTTTACCTCAGGAGCCATGTATCCAAGAGTACCGGTTTCTCCTGTCATGTCTTTTGGATTTAGAGCTTCCACCCGCGCTACTCCAAAATCCGCTATTTTCAAATTCTTATGAGCATCCAAAAGCATATTCTCTGTTTTCACATCGCGGTGCACAATCTTCTCTGAGTGCAAATAGCATAGCCTGCAACAATAATAACAATAAGAGGTTTTCTTGCAATTTATTTGAAAAAGAGTAGTAGTTTCAAAAGACTAATTAATTACCCTCGCGCGAGATCAAGAGCGAGTTTGATAACGGCTTTAAAAGGGAGTTTCTTGCTCTTATGACGAATCAAGTGTTGTTTCAATGTTCCACCAGGAAGATACTCCACAACCACACAACACGCTTGTTGAGGCAACGAGCCTTTTGAATCAGCTGATCGTATATTAAGATTCGTTGTTCCCATCGACGCTCCAACAAACTGTTTCATTTCAATATTTCAATACTCAATTGTGTGAATTAACTAACTAACCAACTAACTAAATAACCAACCTTTGTGACATTTGGATGGTTAAGTTTGTGCCAAACAGTGACCTCTTGACGGAACAAAGCCCGATTTGTAGCGGTCTTGGCCGTTGTTTCATTCCCATCATCTTCCCAATCAAGAACCTTCACTGCCATTACCCAAACAACCACCAAAACACAGTCACAACAATCTCTAATAAAAACATAAGTCATCAAGAACAAGATTTTGGATTTAGTTTATTACCTGCAACATCTTGTCCATCATAAGTGCCTTTGTAGACAGTACCATAAGTACCACGAGCAATAACATTACTTGTTGCCAACTTAGCCAAATCAATCTCCCATTCTTCCTTAGCTTTAGGATTCACCTCAAGATTCCTCGACCAAACCCTACTCAAATGTTTCTCAAGCTGTCTATCTAAACTCTTCAAATCAATCTTATCCGCTCTAAAGATCTTCTCTTTCTTCATGTTGTTCCCATCTTCTTCTGATTTCTTCTCCATGTCTCAAAACTTTCAAATCAAAACTATTTAACTATGCAAATAAGATCACACAACTTTCAAAAAAACAAGATTTTGTGACTCAAAGCATCAATCATTTCATCATCATCATGAAATCAATCAAGTACTATTTTTTCAGATTACTAGTGAATTAAAACCACACAAAAGTTATATATTAAAAAACAATCTTATGATCACTATAAGTTAAACAAAGACAACTTATTATTGAAGGAAGTCTAGATTTTTATAAGAAACTATCAATCACCAAACTTATCAAAGATCATGCACATGCTTTGACATTCAGGTAATGAAATTTCTCTGAAATTGTAGAAAAAGGAGAAAAATCTAACATCACGATAAGAAAAAGTAAACCTTAAGAAAACGACTCGTTAACCACTAATATAGCACACACGAATGATCAAATATTAAAATTCAACTAAACATAAGAAAACAAAACCAAAAGTCAGCTGTATCATCAAACTAGGACATGCAGAGAAACAGAGACGCAAAATAAGCAAATTGAAATTGATGGGTTAAGGCCTAAGGGCACGAAAGAGAAGATTTTTAATGGTGGGTTTAGGATGATGAGGCTAAAAGAGCGAGATTGTTTCTGAAAAATCTCTCCTTTTTTTTGGATGAAAAGAGAGAATCTGAAATAAAGAAAAGGACTTAGGAAACGACGGAAGAGAGATGGAGAGTGAAAGACGGAAGAGAAGCTGTTTCTTTCAGGCTTCTTTTAAGGAGACGTTTTTATTTGTTTTTTTTTCCTCAAATAATTAAATGAAAAAAAAATCAAACAAGTATATCTTTGGTTTTGGCTTTATACAGAAAACATTTCTTGATAATTATAGAAATTACAAAAAATATATACTTATCTAATTAAATACGATCAGTGTGTTCAATTGAATCGAGCCAATCCAATTAACCAATAATTAGTTACATATTGTCTATGTCCACAAAGGGTTTAGCCCACATTGGCATTATAGAATACAACTTAGGGTCATGATTTTCAAAAGAAAGAGATTCATTTGCTACTCTATCCGCCACACCATTACCTTCTCGAAAAGTGAACACCACTTTGGACTCCTCGAATTGCTGGAGAAGATGCTTAACACTCATTTTCTAATGGTTAATATTTATGTTAAATGAATAAAAGTTTTTGCTACATGTCAAAATATAATTGCCCAATAACATACGTAAATTAACACTATAAATATTTTTAAATTAAAAATTTAACAAGACATAATTAGTAAAGAAAAAGAATGAAAATTCACAAAAAAAAAATTGGAGAAAATCAACATTGTTATAAATATAATTTTTCCATATGAGTAATAGCTTAAGCACATGTCAAAATAGTTGATCATGTGCTCTTTCGTGGATATGTTGGTTCGACTGAAGGATTGTCCATGGATTTGAGTAAGGTTGAAGCGGTTAGATCTTGGCCAAACCAACATTCGGTGATAGAGATACGTACTTTTCATGGTTTTGCTTCCTTTTACCACCGTTTTGTACCTCACTTTAGCAACAAAATGGCACCACGCATGGCATATTGTATGGAAGCCAACAAGTTTTTGTGGCCCTTGGAAACGCATGAATCTTTGATCTCCTTAAACACAAGCTTACTTTTCTACGCCTGCTTTAACCATGTCTGATTTTGAGTTACTATTTGAACTTCATTGTTGCGTTGCGTCTAAACTGGTTGTTGGGACAGTATTGACCCAACAATTTCGTCGTGTACCCTATTTCAAGGAATAGTTTGCGGGTGCTGAGAGCCGGTATATTATATATGATGTTGAGTTTTATGTCATCATGGAAGCAGTAATGCATTGGCAACATTATTTTGTGCATCGGAGTTTTATATCATGATTTCTTTAATATATTGACACTCAAATGAAAGTCTCATAGTGACATGCTTCGTTGATAGCATGTGTACAATAATTTACGTTTTCAATTTGCCACAAGTCAGGAAAGTTGAATCGTGTAGCCGATACTATAGATGCATGTTGCAGTGCCGGTTTTCCACTTTTTCAGCTCTTCATGAAACAAATTTGTTCTTTAGTCCCATATTAGATATATACTGAAAAATTGTTCTCGTTCTTATTTCATGCTGACAAATATGTTTTTGTTTTGTGGTTTTCAACTCTGTGTGCCAGATTATAGCCTTCGCTTGAAGATGATTGGAGAGTTATACATTGAGAGACCTGTAAGGCGTGATCGAATGCTCCAACTTGTATCGGCTTCATATTATTGGCCTACACTTTGTCGTGATTTTGAGAGATTTGTAGAGCTTGACAATTATCTAACGAATAGCTTCAAATGCAGGTGTGTAAATTTCTTACCGGTTCCCACTCAGCCATGGACAATGTTTTAAAAATCAGACCGGCGACCGACTCAGCATCATCATTGGGTCGCTGGTCGGACCGGTCCAACCGATCGGATAGGGTTTTAATGATATATATACAATTATAAATATATTATGTCAATATGTGAATTTAATATTCAACATTTTATGAGGAATAAAAAATAACACATCTATGTATGCCAATATGCAATGTGATAGTCAATATTCATTAACACCAAATATCATGGATAATACAATCCCTAAAAATCTACCACTTAAAAGCTTAAGAACAAATCATTCAAAGGATGGAACAAATAAATGGTTGAGTAATATGCATATAAAAAAATGTTTATAAATTTACATTTATAAAAAAAGAAGTCACTTAATAGGAAAAATGTTTTTTTACCAAGAGAACTAAGAAGCATATATATGATTTTTGGTTTCCTACATAATTGTGGAAATAGAAGTAAAAATAATTTTTGGTTTCCTACATAATTGCGGTTTCTGTGGGTTTTGGCTGGTTTTTGCGGTCCAACTCAAATCCGTCGATTCTGATGGTCGCTGGTGTGCTCGGGTCACCGTTTTTGTTCGCGGGTCATGGAGTGGTGCCAAAACTAGGCTCAAATATATCTGGTGGTTATCTTTGTTGAGTCTCGCGTCAGCTCGTTCTCTTTTCTCCTTCACGAATATGTGCATCATTGGATCTATTCTTCGATATCTCGATATCTCCCTCGTCTCCATTGTCTTCCTCCTTGTGTCACCTATTTGCTCTGATCATATTGTATATATGTGAGATCTGGTAACATCAGTTTCTTAGGTTTAGTTGTTTCCCTCGTTTGGCTGACGTCTCCCTCGTTTGGCTAAGTTTTTCTTCATCGATTAATTTAATCTTTGTTAGTTTGGGGTCGAGTTTTATGTCTCGGATTTATCGCGTTTAGTATTAAGTGATGTTTCACTTAATTACTCAATCGTTATGTTATTGAAAAGTCTAAGTGGTTCTAGTTTATCTTACGGTTCATCGGGGAGACCTTTGATAAAAACACTAATAGAGAAAGGTGCATCTTATGTGGAAAAAGCCAAGTTCCAACTCTCTTGTTTTTGCCATTTGTATTGAAGCCCGTTTTCTTAGACGAAATGTAGGAAATCCTTATGGCGATTTTCGAGAACTTCGATAGTTTTGAGAGATAAGGTGTGTTGGTTTATGCAATATATTTGTAAACTCTTTTCCTTTTCAGTTGTAGGTTATAGAAAAATTATTGTATTTCTCTGTAATTTCAAATACTTAATCTTTGCTTTGTGTTATGTAATCTTTCCGTATATTGATTATCAATATTACTTTTAAAGGGGAAAAAACAAAAACAAAAATGAATTTCTTGTTTTTATAATAACTAGGACACACACCCCCGCGATGTCGTGGGCGAAAAGATTTCAAAAATTTATAAAGAGAAAAATATCAAACGAAAAATCATAATGAACTAATATAACTTTCAAAAAAAAAATTTAACAATAAATCAAGGACAAAATTATGATAAAGAGACGTAATCCTCAGAAGCAGATGTAACTTTTAAAAAAAAATACAATTATAAATTATATTTTTAGTTATTTAGAAAAATTAATGAAAGATTGCGACCAATATACAGAACTGTTCAGATTTGCAAAATGTGAGATTGTTATTATTATTAGACTAGATTGTGTACCCGCGCGTTGCGCGGGATTTAATATAAAACTTTTATTATTTAAATATAAATATAATCAATTAAATTTTAAAATATTTTACTTTACTCATGTGCATTATCTTTTCAAAGTAGTAAATTTTTTTTCACACTTTTCAGTATAATTTTTCTCGTTATCTTTTATGATTCACTCGTCGTCTTCCGGCACATACTCTCTTTTCTCCTTAGATCATATCTATTTTCTTCTTCATATCTTTCACTACTTAATTTCATTATAAGTTTCATGATCTTTTTATTAAAGTGAATATCGGAAACAGAAATTTGAGGAGATGTTTGTTATAAGATTTCTTGACCATGTTTTGGTGCATCTAAAATTGCTTTATAGACAACAAATCTCATATATGGACTCATTCGTACTTATAAACATAGAATTTCAACATAAATTTTTGCACTTTATCTTAGCCATTTGAAAAATACAAAATTCTCTTTCTACATATATAACTTAACGTATATTATGATTTTCAGATAGTATTCTTAATGTTGACTTCTCTAAAAATTATTCTAATATAAAATACATTTATTTTTTTGAATAAACAAAACCCTTCTTATTTCTAATGAAAAACTCTTCAATCTATCATTACTATTCTAATTTCGAAATAGCATTCTCATATATTATTATTACACAGTTTTATAATTTTATAAGATTATTTTATTTGTATTTGTGATGTTTAGGATAGTTTTTTTGTTTTATTTCAAATCACTTTAGTTTTTTTTTTAATCTATGTTAATTTCCTAAACACTGATTAATATTTCATATTTCATTTTAAAAAAAAACAAAGCACCACTCTTTAATTTAGAAAACATTACTAATATAGAAAAATAACTATTTATATTATCTTATAATTATAAATAATAATATGTCCTAAATCCTTCTTATTTTTTAATTGGTTCTAAAATGAATTGCTTTTATTTTAAGTAAAAACCTTTAAATTTGGTATTTTTTAAACTCTTATTTTCTTTATTCTACTAAATAATTGTAACTCTTAAAAATAATTATTGTACCATTAAAATATAGATAAGTTTATTTTTTCCTATCTTTCTGTTTTCTCGTAATATTTCATTTAATTTTTTTTGTCAATTATTGTTTTTATTTAATGTGTGAATTAATTTTAGTTTTAATATTTGTTTTAGTAAATAAAGTATGTGGAGCCCACACAAAATTAAAATAAGATGACTTGGATGATGATGTGGACACCCTAGATGGAGAGACAACTCTCCCATTATATATATAGATTTTGGTTACATCATGTCGAGATACGTACAGCTCTCCCAAATAATATTTTTTATATTTAAACGATGCTATATAAATAAAGCAAAAACGTAGAGAGTTGACTTCTAGACTTTCATCACGATATTTTACTATTATTTCTTAGTAACCCTTAGAGCACCTCCAAAGGGAGGTTCTCTTCAAAAAATTGGTGGGTTCTCATGTTTAATTGCCAAAAAAATAAATCAAAACTGACAATATAACAGAGAATCGACTCTCTAAAGAGAGTTTTGAGAAATTGAGAGAGGCGTACACGTGTCACAATGTGATTGGAGGATCGAAAAAAAAAACTCATTTTGCTGGTTTTCTCGATTGGGCCACACAGTTCACAAATATGGGCCTACTACATTAGAAAATCAACCCTAATAAGTTAAGTCCAAAGGCTCGTTTCAAAGGGTAAACGGTTTGGAACGCTTATAAAAATTACCACAACTTAGAAGATCATTTTTTTTTTTTTTGTCATCATTTAAAATAAGCACATTACCCTTTAGGCTAAACCATTTTATTTTGTCATCATCCATTAGATTTTTGTAGCATTGTTATAATTATATGCTAAGTACATGCATGACCCAACCATTGAACTTTTTGTTTCATATTTTTAATTATATGCTAAGTACATGTATGTTTAATATTTTTATGAATTACAATAATTATTAAGTTTTATGAAATAAAATTTTAAATAATTTTTTTTTCTTAAGAGAACCCTACTAGAGAACCTACCATTGGACTATGAAAAATTAAAAAAAAAAACAAAAGTTCTCATCTCACTTTTTCAAAAAATTTATATTAAACAATTTGAGAGAGTCCCATGGTGAGAGCTCCCCATTGGTGATGCTCTTACACCGTTATTAAAAATATAGTAGGACACTTCTATAAAAGGAATACTTGTGTAGAACCAAAAGAACACCAATCGAAAGAAAAGAAAATAATCAATGGAGACGATGAAGGTTGAAACCATCAGTAAAGAAATCATAAAACCATCTTCCCCAACTCCGAATGATCTCCGAACTTTCCAACTCTCAATTTTTGATCACATCCTTCCTCCAGTTTACACAGTAGCCTCTCTCTTCTACACCAAAAATGATCTCATCTCTCGAGAACACACTTCCCACAAACTCAAGACTTCTCTGTCCGAAACCTTGACCAAGTTCTACCCTCTTTCCGGTAGAATCAACGGAGTAACCATAGATTGTAACGATGAAGGAGCTATCTTTGTCGATGCTCGTGTCGATAATTGTTCTCTCTCTGGATTTCTTAGGTGCCCTGATTTCGAGGCCCTCCAACAGTTGCTTCCTCTAGACGTTGTGGACAACCCATACGTGGCTGCTGGGACATGGCCTTTGCTGCTCGTGAAGGCAACTTACTTCCAATGTGGAGGCATGGCCATAGGAATCTGCATCTCTCACAAGATTGCCGACGCAACATCTATCTCTACTTTCATTCAGACATGGGCTGCTATGGCTCGAGGAGAGGCAGAAGTGGCGGGTCCCAAGTTTGCTGCAGCAGATTTCTACCCACCAGCCAACGATGCATTTAAGTTTCCGGTGGATGAACAAGCCAATAATAGGAGCAGCATCACAAAGCGATTCGTGTTCGATGCTTCTAAGTTGGAACAGCTCAGGACCAAAGCTGCTAGTACAGACGTCGTAGCCAGACCTACGCGGGTGGAGAGCGTCACTGCGCTTCTCTGGAAAGGCTTGGTCGCTGCTGCATCTTTGTCTTTAACGACAAGTGATCACAAAGTGCTGTTCCAGCCCGCTAACTTGCGCCCCAAGATACCTTCCCTTCTGCCAGAAAGCCTGTTCGGCAATGTCATGTTCACTTCTGTAGTCTTGAGTATTGGTCCAGAGGGGGAAGTTAAAATCGAAGAGGCCGTTGGAGAGTTACGAAAAAAGGGTGAGGACTTACGATGTCTGATCAAAGACGAGGATGGGTCATCATCTTCGATGATTGGTTCCAAACTAGCAAACTTGATGTTTGCTAATTATTCCAAGATGAGCTATGAGACTCATGAGCCCTACACCGTAAGTAGCTGGTGCAAGCTACCACTTTACAAGGCTCATTTTGGATGGGGATCTCCGGTTTGGGTTGCTGGAAATGTTTCTCCCGCGTTGGGAAACTTAGCCATGTTGATCGATTCCAAGGACGGACAAGGAATTGAAGCGTTTGTTACACTGTCTCAGGAAAACATGTCGTCTTTCGAGCAGAACCCAGAACTACTCGCCTTTGCTTCCTTGAATCCTAGTGTCTTGGTTTAAGTCCTCCTCCAACTATGTTGTTTCCATAATACAGATTTGGATATGTTTAATCATTTTCTTCGAGATGTGATACAAGATTGATATTAATGTTTTTACACCATCCGGATTCAAGTCCATAGAATGCATATATATTCTCTAAGTACACATGTCAACAATTAGGTCTAAATCCGCCCTAACGAGACCTTCAAAATAAACAGACCTCGAGAACTTTATTATATTTTGGTGGGTGGGGATATCGATGTATTACTCCATAATATCTTTGACTTTGTATCCAACCTATATTGCACTTCATTTCTTGTTTCCAACAATTGTATCCAACTTGGTTTTTAACTCTTTTGTTTTGTGTCTTTGGTGTTATTCTCTTTTCTTGAGTGAGTCTCATAGCGTCGTAGGTGGGGAAAATGGTCAATTTCAACTCGAATAAATTGCAAAGTGCGTTTTTACACCTCAACAAAATCACAATGCTTTTTTCCACCTCAACACTAAAATAATTCAAATAAACTACATAGACTATTAAATTTGAGCGTAAAACTACATTGACTGAATCAAAATTAGTCTACCGTTTGTTTTCGCTCACTTAAACGATACGATGGTGACGAGATATCATTTTATCTTAACCGAATGATATCGTTTTGATTATTTGAGTCCATAAACTCAACCGAAAGACGTCGTTTTGGTCATTTGAATCCATAAACTTAACAAAACGACGTTGTTTGGTTAAGACAAAATAACATTGGTAAAGACAAAATGACACTTCGTTGTCACCGTGTTAAGTTTATGGATTCAAATGACAAAAAACAATGTTATACTTCGTCACTATCATGTCGTCTAAATGATCGAAAACAAACAATTGACTAATTTTGTTTAAATCAATGTAGTTTTAATCTCAAATATAATCTAATATACTTCATCATTGAGGTTGAAAAAGGCACTATAACTTTGTTGAGGTATAAAAACGCACTTTGCAATTTGTTTGGGTTGGAATTCACCCTTTTCCCGTCGTAGGTGTCTCTTGTTTTCAAGTCACTTTGAGGCTATCAGCTAAACTTGGAAACTGGATGGAATTGACATCAAAGAGGAGTCACGAAAGTTTTCAAATTGGAGAAATAAATTCAGACCAAACTAAATTAGTGAAGCAATATCATGATTTCCTAGACATAATTAATATTAACAACAGCTGCATAAGACAGAAGCATGAAGGGTTGATCAACTTTTAAGAAATTAATCGGTCTTATGAACATGGAAGTATTTAATGGAGGAGATAAGTTATTATGATATCATATTGTTTCAATAACATTATATTGATTGAAGGTCACTCAATCACTAATTAAATCCAATAGATCGATATTTGATTCCATAACAGCTGTAAACTATATAACATGATATTTTAATTTTGGGAGTGATCAACGCACGAAGTTGAAGACTTTGAAAGCATTCTACAGTTTTAACAGCTTTTTAATTCAGAGTTCTTCGACTTCAATTTATCTTTCCATCAATTTTTATTATTTTATATCATCATTAAAATAATAATACAAACCATATCATTGACTGCCAGTTATTGGATACTCGCCTCATTTATATTATGAGTAAAATGTGATGTAACCTATTTTATTCCCTAATTCCAAATATTTATTTCGATTGATACGTGCCGTTGGGATGATCATAATACTAATAAGGTTCTAAATGGTGACATGAAGTTTGAGGAAATGTTGTGAATTTTCTTTTTGTTACATCATTTACATAAATACAAACTTGAAAAATTTTGGTGCCATCAATTGGTTATATAATATTTTAAAATTTGTGATAAATTTAGTATTATTATGTTTTTGATAAATTATGAATATATTATAAATCACAATTTTCTTAAAGTTTGCTTGATAATTATATAAAAGTTAGTTAAATTTTCTTAAAAAAAATACATATACATATAGGATATACCGCTTTGACTATTATTAATCATAAAAGCGATACTAAAAGATTTGGATGGTTCTGATTGATAATTACTTTTGAAGAAAATAACAAGTAGTATATTTTTTGTATTTTTGTTATATATTTATACATTAAAAAAATTCAAACATTTCAGTTTAAATGAATGTTATGACTTTACTTTAAATCAGTATTTATACTTAAATAAATAAAAATACTTTCACATGAAATTTAATCATGTTTTTAATATGTGATTTTATACTATATCATTACTATAAATTTATATTGAATATTAATTTTAAATAATATTGATAAACTTCAATAATTGAATTTGTTTTTTTAATTAAGCTTTTATGTTAAATAATATTTTGAGTATTTATTCAAAATTTCAATACTATTTATGATAACCGTTTGTTCAATTTCTTATTTACATATATCTTTCTTTTTGTTCTTTATTGTGGTTATTTTCATACATATGTATGTCTTTAATGAAGAATCTATCTGGATTAGTTTTGTCTAAATCAATTATAGTCCATGAGTTCACATGTACCAATCAACGAAGACATTATCTATAAACAATCTTATTTGTTTCCGAAAACCATCACGAATTACTATTACTAATATTAAAGGTGATCGTGAGTAAACAAAAAAAAAAAAGAGAAAAAGCTGATCGTGACAAAATAAAATAATAATCATAAGGATCGTGGGGTTTCCTTAATTGAAGACCTTATAGTATTTTTATATATATATATCAAATGATGTCCAGGAATTAGAAAGAACAGACACGAGATTGCAGAGCTAGTTCAGCTGGCAATTAAAGCTGGCATCGACTTGGCATAAGATTCATAAGTTATACTTAAACGTAGGATCATAGCGTAGGAGTGTTCAATATTCTTTTTTTTTTACTAAAGATTCATGGTCTGTCGACCAATAGATTTTTCAGGATAGGATCTATAACATTTAATTTAACCATTTTTAGAGAACAGACTCCTCATGACGGAGATCGAATCGGTGACCTCCAAATTCACTGTGTCTTTTTGTAATTCAAAGGTTTAACTACTAGATCAGCTCGTCGTTAATTGGTTCTAATTTTTGTTTTGGTTTGGATTCGTCCAATAGGTCAGCACGACGAATTACACCCATGTGTTTGCTAACGTCTGTTGAACGATTTTAAAAAGTCCATGCTTCGAGAATCTGTTCGGGTGGATAAGTTTTTTTTATGATTTTTTAGTTTTAATTTTTGGTCAAAATATTTCAAAATTCAAGTCCATAATTCATAAAATTTTATAGATTAAAATAAAAGAGATTTGGTACGCTAACCTACAAAATATTATAAATTGTTCATCAGATTTTACGGATATTTTTAGCAGATTTTATGCGATTTGGCAAAAGTCAAAGGAAGAAGAGAATATGTTATTTTATTCCTCTTAACCAGAAAGTATATATAAAAGAGATATTAAGATATTAGACAAAATATTATAAAAGTTTATATATAATCCATAATATTCTTCCTCAAGTTGGAACATGAAGATCATAAATGTCTAATTTATGTTTTTGTGCCTTAGATAAGTAAACTGTTGAAAATCCAATGCCTTAGTAAATATATCCAACAGTTGCTCTGTGGTACGAAGATGTGCAGTAACTAGTGCGTCATTCTGTATTTCATCCCGAATGAATTGACAATTCCTTTAAATATGCTTCGTCCTTTCATAAAATACAAGATTTATAATAATATGTAAGGATGCTTTATTGTCACAAAATAACCGCATAGCCTGCGGATGAGAAACCCAAAAACATGCCAAAAATTCTAGATTCTATTTTAATTTTCGGGTGATAAAACTCATCGAACGATATTCAGCCTCACCCGAAAAAAATGACACCACATCTTGTTTCTTTGTCTTCCAAGCTATCGGAGAGTCTCCTAACATTACAACAAAACCTGTAAGCGATTTCTGAGATAAAGGACATGCAAAAAAATCGAAATCACAATAAACCGTCAACTGTAAATCTGAATTAGCACTTAGGTCTGGTAAATATAAGATAAACCAACTACCAACAAGCCGCATATACCTCTCGGAATCATGATAAAAATCACCGTCATCAATTGCTAACTTATGATTTTGTTCAAGATGAGTAGATACTGGTTCACTTCCTAACAACTCACATTTGTTCACAATGTCCAAAGCATACTTCCTTTGAGACAAGTAAAAATCCTCAGGAGACCAAGAAACTTCGATGCCCAAGAAATATTCCATAACACTCAAGTCTTTCATATGGAAGCATTTCACTAAGATATCTCAACTTCATTATAACTTGAAGATCATTTCCACCAATCAACAAATCATCAACATATACTAACACATATAGTTGCATAGAACCACGCACCAAAGTACAAAGAGAGTATTCCACTATTTGTTGAACAAAACTATAGCCTTTGAGCGTCGTCGCAAGCTTAGAAAACCAACATCGTGGTGCTTGACGCTAGTCATAAGGATTGCTTGAGCTTGTAAACTTTTGATTTATCTTGAGAGACAAATCCCGGAGGTCATCTTATATAAACCTCTTTCTCGAGATCCCCATGCAAAAAAATATTATGAACATCCATCTGATGTACTTCCCATATTTTTACAGTCGCAACCTTATGAAACTCTCTTATAGTTGTCATCTTCACGATCGCAGCAAATGTCCCATCAAAATTCAATCTCTCTAGTTGTCTATTACCCATGATCACCAATATGGTCTTGTACCTCTCAATCTCTCCATTCGACTTATACTTGACTGTAAATATCCAATGACTTCCAATTTCTTTCGTACCGGATGAAAGCTCAGTAATATCCCATGTATCATTTTCTTCAAATGCAATCACCTCTCCAGACATCGTATTTTGACACATTTATCTTTAACAGCTTCCGAGTATGATTTTTGGACCAGAACATTCATCATAACTGTAAATAAGGCTCTTTATGCAGCAGAAAACTGATCACATGATACATAATTCACAATAGGATAGAGGACCGTACATGGAAGTGATGACGCTGATTGGGAGGAAGCAGATGAGAGTGTGGGTGGATCATATTGGCATCGTGTAGTATGGAGAACATATCATTGAGACAAATGACTG